TATCAAGCAAAGGGGCAAGATTTCTAAAACTAACTAGTGATTTTGGGTTCCTACCTTGAGACACCTAAAAGGCACCTTTTTCATAAAATGCTGAGCCCCCTAACCCCACCCCTGCAGTTTGGGCATTTGGTGTTGTACATTAAGTATTTACAAATTAAATGCACCCCAAATCACTGAACACTTCTGAAAGTCTTGGCTAAAATTCCCAGAGCTGTGCAATTTTTAATGATGATCCTGGTTCTTAGTGAAATTTTGGCAGAAGTAACTTGTAAGTGCAGATTTTAAAGCATTTGGTATTCCTATTTAATAATGCATTACTATGACGATTAGTAATTGAAATTAATTGTTCACCTGGACCACAAATATATAAAATCCACTACTGAATTACTTTATTTGTTTCCTGTTTTAATTTTCTTTCAGGGAATTGCTTTGCTCACGTGAATTAAATTTACTCAGATGACAATTAGTTTTTAGATTTGCCTTCAAAATATCACATCATCGTGCTGGTTCATGAGAGCCAGGATGGGAATCTGATTAATTTTTTTGCAATAATTGAATGTAAATAACACACAAGAAGTTAATAATGGAAGTATAATAATGGAAGTATAAATTGGATGTTTTCTAAAGGGTTCCAGTTTTAAGGACATAAAGTGTTAATAGGGGTGAGGACACTTGATTTGCAAAGCAAGTTTCAATAGACCAGTGTCAGTTTCACAGTCATGTAGGATAAAAAAAAAAAAAGAGAGAGATTCCCGAGGGGAAAAAATAATCCAGTATTTGGTCCTCTTAGTGGTGTGGGGTTAGTAAGAATGAGTATTTTGAGCTATTATGTCTGTACAAAGCAGGATGCCTCAGGAAGCTAGGGGTGGTAACACATTCCAATAAAAGGAACTGTATACAGGAAATGGCCCACAATTAACTTTTGCTGTTCTGCCCACAATACCTGCTGCCTATAGGGAAAAAGTCGGGGGCCCATCTATAGCTTCAAAATAGCTGAATATATCATATGATAATAAAAAGAAGATACATTTGGCTTTTATATGATGCATTAGCCAGACTAGTGTTCAAGGAAATAGAAGGTATGTCTACTGCTCCAATCCCTGCCCAGCTGCTCAGCTGTGGATGAAAGAGATTTCTTTCGTTTTCTTCTATCATTCATACAGCATACTCCAAAATTTTGCCCTAAGATACTACTGGCCCAATCCTGACATCTTTATGCAGATTGAGAAATATCTTATTTTGCAGTAGCTCTTTTATTCCAATGAAATTACTTGGAAAATTAGGCTTTACTCAAGAATTATAGTAGGGGAGAATCTGGTTCCAAATGTATGTCAAACAATTTTCTAATACATTAGTATAAATTAATTGTGGGTTATTACCTGTTTTGAAGTTAAAGTTCTTGTTAGGAAAAGGATAAACTGCTCATAGTCAACTTTTTACTACCCAACTTATCCGCAACACAGTGCGCATACACTTTACCATTTTTCACTGTTAGAACATTTTTGCTTTGCAGATGATGAATAGCAGAGAGATAAAATTGCTAAAAATGAAATTCAAGCAGCTGACATCGCAGCATGCTCAGAAAAGGGCACTAAAATGTCAGCTGATTTACCAGCCATTAATACACAGTTCTAGATTTCCATTAGCACATTGAATGACTTCTGCTGCAATTGCAAAGATGATGAAATTCCTCTTCAGAAGCAAAAAGAACAGCATTCAGAGTAGGTCACTACTGAAACACCAGGAACTAATTTAGCTAGAGCACAGAGGACTTCACAACCTTCTCTCAGAGCCGAAAATCTGATTTCAGGTGTTTCATTTGCACATGAGTGGCTTGGGAAAAGCTATTAGCCTGGTATTCTAAGGAACAAAACAAATGCCTTTTGCCACAACTATGGAAGGTATCAAATGAAGTAGCGATCACTTTAAAAACTGAATTAGTTAAACTAATCCATACTCCAGGAATGTAAATGAAGGAAATCGAAAATGCAAATGAAGTGCAGATTTACAAAACTTGTGCTTCATTTGCATAATTGTGTCCAATCGCTTTTTCAAAAAAAGGTTTTTTCGAAAAAAAAGCAGTCTAGACATGGTTCTTTCAGGGGAAAAAAACTTTTTCAAAAGAACCCATACTCCAGAAAAAATGAGGTTTATAGGGTTCTTTTGAAAAAGTTTTTTTCCCCTGAAAGAACCATGTCTAGACTGCTTAAAAAAAAACTTTTTTGAAAAAGCAATCGGACTTTGATTGTGGTTATGCAAATGAAGAGTGAGATTTGTAAATCTGCTCGAATAGCCATGCTAATTTAGAACTTTGGAATAGGGAAATGCGCGGGGGATTTAAATATCCCCCACGGGATTTAAATAAACATGGCCCCCGCTTTTTTTCCGGCTTGGGGAAAAGCCGGAAAAGAGCATCCAGACTGACGCGATCCTCCGGAATAAAGCCCTTGAAAGTAGAAATAAGAGATCCTCCGGAATAGGGCTTTATTCCGGAGTATCGCGCCAGTCTGGATGCTTTTCTCCGGCTTATCTCCAAGCCGGAAAAAAGCGGCAGCCATGAAAATGCAAATGCCACGGGGGATATTTAAATCCCCCGTGCATTTGCCTCTTCCCAAGTGCTACATTTGCATCCCTATTCCGTAATAGGGGGCCAATGTAGACGTAGCCTTAGTGTGTAGAAAAATTCTGAGGAATTTGCACATTCCCTTACTTTCTGCACACTAGATCCAAGGGACTCACTCTCACTCTATAACTCAATGCAGTGACATTTTGGGGAGGAGACTTTCAGTGTATCCACTGATGTGGGTTTCACAAATTGGAAACATAGCAATAAGGGCTGCAGTAGCATCTACAGAGAGTCTCCACTATTGTTTCATGGCCTACCCTTCTTCCTATAGAGTTCTCATTGAGCATCCCATATCTGCCAAGCTTGGCTACTCCAGCTTGATGAAAGGGATGCATTTGACTCTAGGCGATAAAGTAATTCTCATTAAATCATGATCACCAGTAATCTCTCATCACCAATACATCTCCTATTAAGGTCTCAGAGACATTAAGGCCAGAAGGGACTGTCATGATAATCTAAGGTAACCTCCTGAACATCACAGGCCACAGTACTTCACCCACTCGCTCCTGTAGTATTTTCCTTTCTGATCCATCCCTTCTTCCATTCCTTGTAGGCTTTCTGCTTTCTCTCAGTAACCTCTTTGAGATGTTTCTTCATCCAGTTTGATTTGAAACACGTCTCTTCCTATTTTTCCTCATTGCTTGGGATGCAGGCTTCAGAATCTTTAAGTCAAAGTTTCAGAAATAAATTCCAAGCCTCCTTCACATTTGGATTCTTGCCTTTCTGATCCATCCCTTCTTCCATTCCTTGTAGGCTTTCTGCTTTCTCTCAGTAACCTCTTTGAGATGTTTCTTCATCCAGTTTGATTTGAAACACGTCTCTTCCTATTTTTCCTCATTGCTTGGGATGCAGGCTTCAGAATCTTTAAGTCAAAGTTTCAGAAATAAATTCCAAGCCTCCTTCACATTTGGATTCTTGAGTTCTTCAGTATAGTCCACTTCCCTACCTAATTCCCTTTATTTATTTAAAGTTTGCCCTTTTCTATGAACCTTTTGTTTGTTTATCTTTCTATTTACTTCGAATTGGCTCATGATCATTTAAACCAAGGTTGTTATCCATAAGCAACTCTTCTACAAGGATCTATCTACTTACTAACACTAAATTTAAAATGGTATTAGCTCTTGTTGTTTTGGTGATTGATGAAGAATCTGTCATCTATCACATCCAAAGGGGTTGTACCATAATGAATGTGTAGAAGGGAGACAAGAATGCATTGCCTATTGAAACTAGAATACATTCTGGCCCTGGACTAGAAGTTCCTGGAGTTATGTTGTACACCCTTTTAAATGGACAGAAGACTGAAGAAGAGGGCAATCTTAATTATTCATGTTTTCTAACTTGTGAATGCTTTTGCAGCCTGAATTATGCTCTTTGAATCCTTTTAAATATTTTAGAGAGAAGTGGATAAAATCAAATTTTGTTATGCATGTTTACTTTAAGCACATATTTTAACTGCTTTTGGAAGTAAATCTATAATAAAGGCAGTTTCACTTTCTTTACCTACAGATTCATAAACAAAGGATCATGGGCTAGTTTACTCTTATTCTTTAAATAGATTTATCAAACTGATGTTTAAGTAAATGTTTGAAGAGTGAGGCAACATTTGTTTCTGTACACACATTCAAATTGATGGTTTCTGAAAATATTTTGATTTTAATGGACTGCTTGACTTTATATTGTTATAGCTGCCGGTGCCATCTGTAGTTTACATTGACTGTATTGAACATGCTTGGAAATAGTGGCAAAACTACACATACCTGGAATCAAAACAATCAGGATTAGATAACTGACCCAAGAAGCTCATAACCTCCTTTTGCCAGTGTAAAGTTGAGAGACTGATATTGTTCCTATTCAAGTCAAATGGAGTTTTGTCATAGATGCTAAAAGAAGTGGAATGGGTCCCATAGACAGTAATGTTTTAAAAATAAATACTGTTTTTAAGGAAGGGGCTCAACTCTGCAGTCTTTAAACAAGAAAAATTCTCAGAGTTGTCATGTTTTTGATGTGCCTTTTACCTGCTTAGGAATTTTAGGACAGGGACCATGATATATATGATGCCAGCAATGTTAAAATTGGAGCTAGGATGTTCAGCAGCATCAGTCCAATCAAAAAAAAGTAAGGCTTGTTTCAACAAGTGCCAATTAGACTTGTTATTCATCTTTTTTGTCATTGTTATACTGAACTAGATATTTTCAGGACAAACTTAAAAAACAACAAACAATCTAGTAGCACCTTAAAGACTAAGAAAACATGTAGATTGTATCACGAGCTTTTGTGAGCAAAACCCACTTCTTCAGATGACTGGCTTAGATATTTTCAGTAATTAGCATTCATTTGTATTCTCCAACAGATCCTCTCTCTTTATATTTTTCAGGTCAAAAGGTATGTTATAGTGATTTTAGGCATCCCTGTTACAAGATAGCCTACTTCCAGGATTTGTCCAGACGTGTGGGCTTTCAGGAGGCCCGCCAAGCCTGTGAAATTGATGGTGGGATGCTCATAAGTCTGGAAAGTGAAGCTGAACAGAGGCTCATAGAAAATATGTTACAAAACCTCACTAAGTCAGGCTCTGGGATTTCCGATGGAGACTTCTGGATTGGATTGTGGAGAAATGGAGAGGGACAAGCATCATCGGGAGCTTGCCCTGACCTCTACCAATGGACAGATGGGGCCATTTCATCATTCAGGTAAAAATCTAGGAGATTGCCTTTAGTTTGAAGGGTTTATGGAAGGAAACATAGGGTGGGTAGCACCAAGAAGGTCAAATGTTTTGTGAATTCAACTATACAGAAAAGTTAGTCGATGGGCTAGTAACATGCTCCCTACCACTTTTTCACAAAACGAGGAGACTGAAACTATGGATCTGTATTTGGAGATGTATGATTATGACACGTTGTCTCTGTGGTATGCTTGTTGGAGGTCCTCTTCCCAAGTTTCATAGAATTAAGCACCGCACAGGTTTCCAGCTGTGGTGTTGGAAGAAAGAAGAAAAGGATGGTGGCAGGAAATGGCAACCAAACTCTGCCAGATTCCAGCCCACAAACAACAGCTGCGTAAATTAGTGAATATTTTAGAATAACTCACTCTTCCCTCACCCCGGATTTTGGAAACCTCCTTAGATTTCCTTGTTCAACTAATCATCAGTGGAACAAAATTCAGGAGCCATAATCTGCAGGTGAACTGTGGGTAGGTGACGGGGAAAGCAGTAATCAGATGGGAGGAAAAAATATCTGCATAAATGTTCCTTTATTGCAGGATCTTCTAAGATCTGCAGACTGGTGGTAGACCTGCACCCTCTTCCATGCAGGGGATGGGAGAAATGCATCTTATTCTTCTTTAAGGGACAATGGAGCATATACACTCTAATATTCACTAGATTAAGGCATTTCTGAATGTTTGCAAATGGTTCTGTTAGATGGCATGGTGAGACTTTTAACTGCAATATTTTGAACATTTTGATTCTCGTGCACTGCTAGAAATTGGTACACGGACGAGCCTTCCTGTGGAAGTGAAGCTTGTGTTGTGATGTATCATCAACCAACTGCAAACCCTGGCCTGGGGGGGCCTTACCTTTACCAATGGAATGATGACAGATGCAACATGAAGCACAATTTTATCTGCAAGTATAGTCCAGGTAAGGAAAGTGAAGGTCAGATTTCACAGGTGGTATATGTTGACAGAAAAGCCACTGCTTTGACTTTGCTTTATATAGGTATCTACAACCCCTCTGTATGTCCTAGCTAGTATAATTAACAATAGGGTGAGTAAATAGTCAGAAGCAAAACAATTATGGGGCTAGTATGAGAAAAAGTAATACCCTTAAAAACCAGTTCATGGTGTCTATTTTTTTCTGCAAAAACTTAAATTATATTTTAATAAAGAATGATCCCAAAGCCTGATTCACCATTGTGTTGTCTGGTTTTAAGTTAGTATCACTCCAAGTGCAGGAACGCAATGGCAAATCAGGTCACAAATATTCCTGGCCAGAAGTATCTGTTAATTGTAATAACTTTAAACTTTTGGCTAGAAAAAGAATGTTGTTTTACCTTCTAATGTGCTCCCAATGATGATCAGTTGTTCTGTTAATTAGTTAGACCAACTGAAGAAAAGAAATTTAACAAAGGTCAAAATCCAGATTCAGCACATAAGATTATAAATTTAGTGAAGTCAGAGAGTTCCTTCTTACACAAAGTTTGAATTTTTTGTCCATTTTAAAAACCATTCATTTTACTTAATGGGACCTTTTCAATGTATATATTTGTAGTGATTTTATGTCATGTTGCCATGAATACAATAATTAACATAATGTAAATTTATAGTATTACTTTAAAAATTGTTTTATAAAAACAAAAGTTAAGACAGACCCTCTACTGAATATATTCTATTTTTTAATTGTTTACAAAAGAAATTAAAGCCCCAGACCTGAAAAAACTTATTGCTATATACATGAATAGTGCTGCTGAATTTTCTAGGACAATGAATATATATGTATGTGTAGGGTCAGAGCCTTAGACTGAACTTGACTATTTAGGTGATATCATAGGTAATTTCAATTTTTTATTTTCCCCTGTAGTTTGAGTTTTACTCTTTTTAAAACTATTTGATATATCTCTATACTACTTGAATTCATGTTTTAGACTGCTACTAAACAAGTTTGGAGGGCTAAGAATATTTAATTTTGATTTAAGAATCAAGTGCTTATTAATTTCAGATTAATTGTTACAAGTCACTGCAAAACACAAATATGAGCTCAATACTTTGTCATATATGTCTCTCCAATGACACTCTGTTTACATTGGGGCTGCATCTATACTGGCATGATTTTGCTCCAAAGTGGCCGCTTTTGCACAAAATCTTGCCGCCTGTCTACACTGGCCGCGAGTATTTGCGCAAGAATTCTGACTTTGTAATGTACAAAATCAGTGGTTCTTGCGCAAATAGTCCGATGCTCACGCTCAGGGTTAAGCCCTCTTGCGCAAGTATTCTTGGCCATCGGAGCTTTCTTGTGCAAGAGAGCATCTACACTGGCACAGGTGCCTTTGCGCAAAGGCACATGCCAGTATAGACGCTCTCTTGCGCAAATACTTTTAATGGAAAAACTTTTCCGTTAAAAGTATTTGAGCAAAATCATGCCAGTCTAGACACAGCCTTAGTGTTTTTCATTCAAGCATCTCAAAGTCTTTAAAATGCTTAATTAGATTCATAATTCCATTTACCTGTATACATTTTACAGATGGGGAAAGTGAGATAGAAACAGGTTAAAGGATATTTCCAAAAATTCACAGCAAGTCAGTGATAGATCCAGAAAAAGGGAGAGCTAATACTTGAAATCGGTGAAAATATTTTGGCAGCACTTCACATGAAAACATTGGCCAGTTCATTTCACTGAGTTATCAAGTTTTCAGTACAGTTTCCCACGAAATAATGAAGATCCAAAAATCCAATATTTATTAATGGATCATATTACAAAAATGCATTTAGATTGAAATTTCCTGACAATTTCCAATTTCACACCTTTGAAATTGCACCCAAAATTATCATTGCAGCTCTTGCTGCATATTTTTGATAGCCAGATGCGTCAGAGAAGTCCAGAGTAACAGGAAAGACAATTAAACACACATGTATAAAGGAGAGCCAACAGCCTCTTTGGACTGTTGGGCAAGGTGTGTGTGGGGGGCCACTCTGTGTACCTGGAAGGAGCATGGCCTCAGACAGAAAGGGCAGAGCCAGGGGCAGTCAGCCCTCTATGCCACTCAGAGTGTGGTGCAACCTGCTCTCCTCAGTTTTCAGAGCCACACAGTGAATGCTTCATGGCACTCAGCCAGCAATTTAAAGAGCTCGTCTACAGCCCTGGCTGGGAGCCCTAGGCCTCTTTGAATTGCTGAGGCAACTGCTCCATTCCCTTCTGCCCTACACACATGCTCATTGGTGGGCCTGCATGCAAACACATAGCCAATTCCGTTAGGTGCATTCCAGTTCAGATGGCGACACAAGTGACCAGGGATTTTTCAATTTGACTTAAACTCCAGAAATGATATGGGAATCTCTCCTGGGTCCTGCATATATTGGGTTGAGGACAGCTAAAACTGGACAGACAGAGCAAGAAAATTGGAAGCAAGCTTGAAGTTCAGCCTCCCATGGTTGTTATGGTTGGTTTTAGTAGTTATGCTCGGCAGTAGATCCACACCATGTTTGTTACCAGGACTATGATACTCAAAGCATTACTGATTATCAAAAATTGTATATTGTGTCCACAAAGACAATTCATAGGGGAAAAAAGAACATACAAATCCTAGCATAACTTTAGCCAAATTGCATACAAAAACAAGCAGACTGTAAACCAGGCTCGGTGACAGACTGTATGAAGAAATACATACTCAACCAGTTTCAGTGTTTAATGTGAACTATCTGTACCTGCAAAGATTCCCATCCAATTGCTCTCCACACAATGTCACACGAAGGTGACAGGGTGTATATTACAAGCTTCTTTTGCACCTTACATATGGTACATTTCAACAACCTGCATGCAGATTAGATTCACTGCTTCAATCTCAGTGAGTTCTATGCATTTAGAAATATCAGAGTAGGAGAACCAATGGATCATCATTCCTCAAATTTCCTGCTTCTGATTAATTGTTTTTTTCATCTTTAAAACGAGCTGCTGAAATTCATTGTATGAGTAAGGTTCTATGACTCACTAGGCAAAATTACTCAGCCACCCTCTAGGCCTAATCTTCATATGTTCACTTGCATTTTTTTGGTTTTGTTTTCTAAGTACTATCTTTAGTTGGGAAAAAAAACCTTCCCTTGTCACAGTTTTAGCTCTGGATATGAATCTCTTTCACTTCGAAAGAATGTTGATCTTAATTAGCTAATGGTAGCTCCAACCACATTTTGTTTAAGCCAACTCTCGCATCCTGGTTTTCAGATCAGATTAAAAATTAACCCATTATTTAATGCTCCAGAATAAGTTAATTCTAGAAGCAATAGTTTATAGTGTTTGACATTTCTGCAAGCCATGTCCCAACATAACCAGCTTTTATTTGAGAAACTGAAGTGATTGCTACTATTGTATCATAGAACCATAGAGCTGGTAGAGACCTCAGAAGGTCATCAAGTCCAGCCCCCTGCTCTAGGCAGGACCAATCCCAACTAAATCAACCCGGCCAAGGCTTTGTCAAGCCGAGACTTAAACACCTCTAGGGATGGAGATTCCACTACTTCCCTGGGTAACCCATTCCAGTGCTTCACCACCCTCCTAGTGAAATAGTTTTTCCTAATACCCAACCTGGACCTCTCCCACTACAACTTGAGACCATTGCTCCTTGTTCTGCCCTCCATCACTACTGAGAACAGCCTTTCTCCATCCTCTTTGGAACCTCGCTTCAGGAAGGCTGCTATCAAATCCCCCCTCACTCTTCGCTTCTGGAGACTAAACAGACCCAACTCCCTCAGCTTCTCCTCTTAGGTCATGTGCTCCAGCCCCCTAATCATTTTGGTTGCCCTCCAATGAGTCCGCATCCTTTTTATAGTTTGGTGCCCAGAACTGGACACAATACTCCACATGTGACCTCACCAGAGCCGAATTAAGGGGAATAATCACATCTCTGGATCTGCTGGCAATGCTTCTCTTAATGCAACCTAATATGCCATTAGCCTTCTTGGCTACAAGGGCACACTGTTGACTCAAATCTAGCTTCTGGAAGGTTGTAGTAGGTTTTATTACCTCTTGAAAACTCTGAGCATTGTGCATTCACCATTACTGTTCTGAGCTAATGACTAGGAGAAATTGGTGTTCATAATCTTATAACTATACAAATTCTACTTCTGTGAACTTCCTTTCCATTCAAAATAATTTCAATAATCTATGGAATTATTTAGACTTTCAATAACACTACTCTTCCATTTATACAACCTGGCTTTGCTGCATGTCTTATAGCCCTGAATCATGGTTTCCAGTTGGTTATTTATAATTAGAGAGGGAGCATTATCCTCCTCTTCTGCAATGATTACATTTCCTTACCATTCAATTTCTAATAGTTCACTGATTAATCCTGGTTTTGATTATAGGGATGTCTGTACCAAAAAATATAGCTTCATATCTGCCCTCAAAACATCTAGTCCATACATTTCCTTGCTTCAAAGCTACTTTTTAAATAATTATTGTGGAAAAAAGAAAGTTTCTCTATCTTACAATATCATGACCACTGCCCCACTTTTTCTGTTTTAGGATCCTCTGGCTGTAAGAGAAGTGAGATATTAAAAAAAAGTTATATTCAAATTCCATGTGACAAGAAAAGGGTGGGATTTTATTATTTGTCTAATAAAATTGAAGATTTTCACCAGAAAAAGTAGATTTAAGGCAAAACTGCAGGTCCTATTATATGGCCCTCCTATTTATTTAGAAAGAAAGACTAGAAGTAGACTGATACCAACCCTTAATTTTAATGTTTTATGATAAACATTCTTTAGAAAGTTGCTTACCAAATATTGCATTATGAAATTGAAGAACTCTGTAATAATTGTATTTTTTAAAATAATGAGCATGGGGATGTAGTTTTGAGCTATGGTACAGTGTGTAAAACAATGTAAAAGACATCTGTGTTATTACTTTTACTCTTTCACTGTCAAACTATTGATTTAACAGATAATGTCCTAGAAAAAGAACTAGGCGACAGAACAGAGACAGATTATGGTAAGAAATTTTAAAATTTGAGATTGAGTTTCAATGGTAAAGATATAATCTTATGAACCATATACAGGATCCTGGAATGTTACATTAAAAATAAAACAGATTTGTGCGTAGTGGAACATATTGAAAAAGCATCCTAGAGAGAGGAATATTTGCAAATGTAGTTGCAAATACATGGATTCAGTTCAAAACAGTGCTTCTTTTAATTTGTATTCCAGGTTTAATCTTAACATTTCACTAAAGTTCTGTAGACACATTTACTTATAATAATTTATTCAAAGCTGTAATGGTTCAGATTCCAAATATAAATCGGTTTTAAATGTAAAAAACCACTATGAACACATTGTGCAATATGTAATAACCACCTTTTATATTGTTGCTATTTTTTCTAATCTGTTTAACTTCTTTTTCAGAGGTTTTCCCATCAGTAACAGCAGGAAAGCCCTATAATGAAAACAAACCAGAAGATAATTATCATGTAGCTGTAACTGAAACAGGTAATTTATTCATAAGGCTTTTATGTTCAGCATGAGATGGAGAGAATTAGAATTAGGTATGCAACTTTCCTAGTTAATAGGAATAAACTGCCTAGTTCCCAAGAGGTCTGCTGAATATATACCTGTAAGGGATGGCACCCAGCTGATTGCCCCAGCTGTTTGTGTATGCTTTCACTCTCTTATTCTGCAGTGACTTCTGTCGTCAGTTTCTCAGATGGGTTTTCAATGACACAGCCCTCTGAGTCATACGTGAAGTCTGTTTCAGAAACAAAACAACCCTGTTGGGTAACGTCTACACTACAGAGGAAGATCGAAGCTGCCTCTGTTGATCTTATAAGGTTCTAATTAGAGGTTTAGTTAAATTAGCTAATTCAAAGTAAAAGGGGCACTCCGGTTGATTCTAGTAACCCTGCTTTCACAAGGAGTAAGGGAAGTCAAAGGAAGTGTGTTCTTCCTTCGACTTACTGCTGTGTAGACAGTGCCAAAAGCTGAGTTAAGCTACTTCAACTTCAGCTATGCAATTAATGTAGCTGAAGTTGCGTATCTTAATAGACTGACACAAACATAAGAGACTTATTTTCTCTTTTAGAACATGGCCGACTGATATTTCTAGAGACAGAAGTGATCTGTCATCTACCCAAAAGCCCCATGGTATAGCAGGGTTCTATGTGTGCTGCAACACTGATCTGGAGAGATCATATTTAGGATTGAAATCATCTGAACACTCCACTGAAACTGCCAAGAAAAGTGATAATTCTGGTGTTGCCTATTGGGATGCGACCATCTACCTATGAAGAACTACTCAGAGACTGACCAACTAATTTAATTTAAGAGTTGATATCTGCCTAGTTCCAAACATCTCTTGAGAGGTGCTCAGTCCCCTGAAGTCATATAGATTTCAGTGAGCACTGATGGCATTCACATCTCTCCAGAACATCTCAGCATCTTGCAGTATCTGATTCTTAGGTCACTGAACAACTGAAAGATGACAATAACTGTCCACTACTATCCATCTGAGATAGATTTGGGCCAGTTGCCTTGTTGTGAATGCCCATGTGTACCATTATCAGTCCCCAGGACAGTTTTACATTGGTCAATGAACTATGTTGTTGTTGTCATTTAGAAAGAATAACACTGTTTTAAAATGTCATCATTACTGTGCTGCTCTCTGAATATATAATGAGACTGCTAATAGGATGAGAAAGGCAAGAAAAAAGAATTCTAAGAATTGCTAGATAATGGAGAGGTAAAACATGGGGCATACAATGATGTACGGGAAAGATAAGCAACAGCAATACCTATCAAATTTGAATCTCCATTTGCACCTGCTTTGTTTCCCAGAGGAGTATTTTATCTGAGCACTCATGGGCAAATGCTGCTGTTATAAATAAATACATAAATAGATACTATGCTATACTTTTCAATGCAGAACACGTAAAGAACAGGCATTTAAAACTAGTGCTATGGTCTATAGAAAGCCAAATTCTGATTACTAAGTAAACTGGCCTTAAACATTTGCTCTTACAAGTTAAAGTATATTAAAAATAATTGAAAGAAGAATACTACCTAGAATACCAGCTTGTGGGTCAAGTACCTTGTCTTCTGTACAGTAATAAATGTGGGGATACACTTATTTCAAACGTACTTACAGTTTCTCTGTTGAAACAGGAAGCTGATACTATTAAAACATAGCTGTACAATTATGATTGCTCGTTACAACATGGTGATCAGTGAGCAACAATATGTTAAGCATAGGGTGGCATATTAATGAAGAGGCAGAGGACAGTTCCTTCATTACACACATTACCCAGCTATTTCTGGAGTCTGAACATCCCTGTTCTGAAGCCTTGTGTAACCATGTGGGTTGACAGGGACCCACCTCTTTCTGATGTCAAAGGGGATGAAATGCTTCAGGAATTGTTCTTGTTCCTTAACTGTTATACTGAGAAAAGAATAAAAGTTCAGAAGACTGAAGGACAGACTATAACTCCAGTCTAGCTTGAGAAAGGAACAATGCGTAGCTGTGCTGGACTAGGAGCAGATCAGAGAACCAATGGGGACTCAGCATCAGATTTCTGCCTGTGCTCACCCATTGCTCTGTAGGAGGAATAAATTGTTTCACTCTTTTTATGGAGCAGCTTGCTTACTTCCCACTGAGTACCAACACAAGGAAGTAGAAGAGATGAATTTAGGGTTTTTCATGCTCCCTAACCATTCCTCTCTGTTTGTTTACAGCAGAGCTGATCATGTGAGCATCCCCTGTTTTCCCCACCTCAGCTGAAGTTACAGTCTAAGCAGAGCTATAAAAAGGAATGGGGGAGTCGAGGGAACATGCAATTTTTGCTCTTTTATTTCCTTGCATGGCCAAATTAGAGCTGTGCCTGTCCAGCCCAAAGCATGAAACCGAGCGTACATTTTTACAATAAATCTATATTTTAGCTGATGAATAAAGTATTATGAAATGTGAATCATATTTGTTAAGTAGTCATATTTTGATTTGGGAAAATCATAATGAAATAATTGATGCATAATGAAAACTATGTGCTTTTTTGGACAGCTTTTTCATAAAATATTGGAAATGTATTCTTATAATCCTAACACATTCATATTTTCCTTTCAAATTGATTGGAGGGCTTTGTGCAAAAGGAATGAAGGATTGATCTATGTTTTCACATAGATAAAGATAGTTAAGGCAATGTATTTCTCCTTTGTTCTTCTCCAACTCTTTTAGTGAAATGGGACAACATCTTTCAATGCTCTAGGCACTGATGAGATACTTTGCTTCTTTTGTAGGTATCATTCCAAATCTCATTTATGTTGTTATACCAACTATACCACTGCTGTTATTGATATTAGTGGCTTTTGGTACTTGCTGTTTCCAGATGCTACACAAAAGGTAAATACTGTCGATGCACTGGTATGAATTTGTCTTATAATGATGAACTCTTGTTTCCATTAACAAACTTTTCATATTTAAAGAATGCTTTCATCTCTTACTTGTTTCCTCCTCAGTTGTGGTATGTGCATCTTGTCAACCCAGAAAATCTAAGCAATTTACTTATTAATGACAGATGAAAATTCAAGTTCACCTATGAAAAGGCCCTGGCCTAATGTAGATAAACAGATCCCTTAAGATGCACTGGGCATATCTATACTTACCCACAGACCAACGCTCCAGAGGTTGATCTTCTGGCATTCAGTTTAGTGGATCTAGTATAGACCCGTAAATTGAATGCTGAGGGCAGCTCCTGCTGGTGTCTGTACTCCTTACAGTTGCATTTGCTTCCATCTGCCTTCCACTGTGTGGATGCCACCAAGGTTTGGCTTAAAGTAAGCCGACTCCAGCTATTTAGAATACGTAGCTGGAGTTGAGTAACTTAAGCCGACCTTCCAGCTCTAGTGTAGACCTAGCCACTATGTTGCCAGAGGGAATATTTCCAGTTTCCAAGAATGACATTTTTGCTTGCAGCTATTGTTGACATTTTCCCTTACTTTGTGAAGCCTGATTACCATCTATATTGGAATTGATCTCTTGGGAATGACACAGGAGGCTTCACTGACATGGAGCATTCCCAAAAGGAGCCCTTTCCCACCTAATTTTCTGCCACAAAGGGTAAATTCTTCCCTGTCTAAATGGGCATAAGTTGTTAAGAGACGACTTAAAGGTGCAACAGTCTGCTAAGACTTGATTTACTAGCCATCCTGGAAGAGCAAGAAAGATGTCACCAGAAAAGACTAACTTTAAACTAACAAACATATTTAGAGGCAGTGTAATTACCTGGCTTCCAGTGTTTGCAATGAAATCACCAAAGCTAATATTTATGAATGCTTTATTTTTACAGTATCAGTCAGCACTTATGATTGGAGACGGTGTCTCCCTCCTCCGAAGCATGTACATATGATTGTGATGCTAATGCTTCTTTCATGGTGATTTTCCTGCCCCTGGTTGACAGCTCTAGTGGAAGGGCAGGATTATTAACAACTCTCAGGACCCAGGGAATAGCAGATGGGAGAGTTTCTGTAGTAAAGTGGGTTGAGATTAATATTCCATGTGTACTTCCTTTTAACTTTTCTCATTTCAAAAACTTAATTTCCTGTTTTGTGGTGGATTTCAGTTTTAATTCTTCTTTCGGGGAAACAGAAAACAAAATAAATAGGTAAGCAATTTCTGAATCTATTTCCCTTTTGGATCACTTAAAAAAATCCTGATATTTATAAAAATGGTCACTGTGGTATTATTCCCTGGTATCACACAGCTGTTTAGTAATCTTATCCCTCCAGATATGTGAGGCTTGCATTAGAACACACAGAGTTTCCTAATGACCCGCACTTCCATATTAAGAAGTGGAAGATTTGCATTTCCCAACTTCTGTGGTAGCAACTTCAGTAATAGTAACATGTCAGGCAAATCCATGTTTACATACAACCACCATGATTTTAATGTTGACCAACAGGGTCTTGATAGATACCGCAAAGGTTGTGGTTAAGGAAGCCCATTCATAATATTATAAGGATTAAGGATATATTTCACCTCACATAACAGTGGGATTGGCTTTTCTAGATAAGTATTAGAGTAGGTGCATTCATGATTTTTAGCAACTCATTCCCCCTCTCTGCTATTGTGCAAAAGGCTCTAAAAGCGTTCCCTCTAGATAGACCATGTAAAAATGTGAACATGTGACCCACAGTCTACTGATGTCGATGGAAAGACTTGTTGATGTCAGTGCGTTATGGACCAGGCCTCTGAAACTGTAGAATTCATCCAAGAAAGAAAATTTGACTTCCCAAGATCTAGAAATAGCAGAGCACAAGAGGTTGGGAACTCCAATGCTTAATGTGAATTCTACCCTGCAGGGGTTTCCCAACTTACAAATGAGTCTCTTTTTTCTCCTTTTTCTTTTTTTAGGCTTTTATGGGAGGATGACATTTCCTTTGAAAGATGAGCTTGCTTTGCAGCCACAATCCATGGGCTTCCAGGACTTGTTTAGCTTGGAAGAACATGACCGGTTTTGGCTGGCGTGGGCTGTTACAGGATAATAGTAAAGGGAAGCAGAGCATCTTTCCTGTAGTCAGTAGGAACAATCAGCTCGTTCATGCTTAGATGCTCTCCCTTTCCTTTCTTCCAGGGAAGCAAGGAGAAACTGCTTCACAGACCCATCTCCATTATCATCTGAATGCCTTGCAGAAAGTTTAAATTCCAACCTGGTATATGTCTTAGTTTCTATGATTGTATTTCACAGTCAAAACAACAATTCCAAGTAATACCCTCAAACAATTTATTGTCCCTCACTTAACATTATTCCCAGAAAAGATGTACAGAGCCCAATACTCCATTGGTGTCAATAGCCACAGCTTTATTGGAGATGTACAGCAGCTGAGGATTTCATCTATGAGATTTAGACATGTTGTTTTGACAAGTGCGTATTTTAACTGGTTTTGGCTTAACTTTCCATTCTAGGTACCCCAGACATAAATGAACAACATGAGTTAGATTCACTAATGTAAAACTGGGGTAAAGCTTGGATGCATACGGCCCAGCTCTAAAGGCCACTGAAATTAATGGGGATTTTTAAATGACCACAAGTACAGTCTCTCCTTTGGCAAAAAAATCAAATACTGAAATATTTTATCTGAGAACCAAAACATTTTGATTCTGATCTGCTGCTGTGGTGCCTCATAAATATTTTAGTTCGTTCCCATTCTCCTGTAACATCTGGGATTCATGATCTGACATCATCTCTCATGCTGCTCTATTTTCCCTTCTGTGTGAGGGGAGATGGCAAACTATGTAAGTCACATGGCTGAGGTGCATTCTGGATGTCCCTGGACACTGTGCATCATGAAACCTGGTTGGGGATCTGAGTCCACAGAAAAGAATGAAAACATGAGGTTCTGTGAGGGCATTTCAAACTTAAAATTTTTCAGTTTAGACTTCCTTTTTTTATGAAAAATATTTTCTCCTATGGAAAGTAAATGCTTTTTGTTAAAACATTAACCCCCGTTTTCCCTAAAAAAAATTGATGGAAAAAATTGTGACTAGTCATAATTAATACTTTTCTACTGTGGTCAGTTCATCTCCAAGAGTTTGCTTTACTGCCCATTGATTTCAGCAGAAAATGGATCAAGTCCTAAATGCAAGATTTTGTCCTACTTATTCACACTGGAGAGAATCTTGACAATGAGACTACTCTTAAGAGTAAGATGCTGTTCAGCATGAGGAAGGTTGGCAAAATCTGAACCTAAACAATACAGCACAGAGTGGACAATCTAAGTCCACAGGAAGACAAAATAATTAACCCTCCTTTCAAATATAATTTAGTGGTTTCTTTGTCTTTGCTGATCAACAAGGTCATGCTTTTAGTCAGAGCTTATATATAATTCTATTGTATCGGGAAATGACAGCACATTAATAACAGAAGCCACTCTGAATGAATAGATGGATGCTAGTCTGACATACCCTGACCTAGTCGCATCCTGAATCTGAACCCAAAAGAAATCAAATTAGTTGAAATTATTTTACATTTTTATTTTTCAGTAAAGGAAGAACAAAAACCAGCCCAAACCAATCTACATTATGGATTTCAAAGAATCCCAGGAAGGACAGTAGCATGGAGGTATAACAGTGTAATGACTGAAAACAAAGCAAAAATAATACTTTACAGTCGGGCTCCATTATTATGTCATCTCAGCACATTAGCTTGGAATGGCTTGAGATTGCAACGGATTGGCAAAATGAACTGTAAGCTCCCCCTTGAGGCAACTATTCAGATCATTTTTATATGTAATGTTTGATTATTAATTAAATGAAACATGTCATGCTAAATAAAGAAAGAGGATGTGGTTTGCTAAGGGAAGTAACTCGGCTACAAAAGAGCAATGAAATGGACAATGCACTTGAAGTTCATGTGGGAAATATCACAGTATGTATCAGTTTAAAATTGTTTGTAGTAATCATAACATTTTTATTTCCTGTAGTCCCTCATACATTTTACTTTAGTTGATGTACTATAAATTGAATGATAAAAAATTACAGTGTAACAAAATAATTTATCTTTGCATAAATATTTGATAAAAATGGATTGCTCAGTTATTTATTTGCACATTTTCAAAGCCACTCTTGATTCTTAAGGCATATCTTTTATTTTAATCCTATAACTGATGATCATTAGTAGAGACAGTTGCCAATGAAGTGATATTGATCTTCAGTGGCAAAATTCAAGTATTCAGGAAAATCACTGGGTGCTGCATAATGGGTGCACTTTGCTAGTGGATGGCCATATCTTTTTGATACATTTGTCTGAAGTCAATATAAATCATTCTGCCAAAAACCCATGAATAAGATATGTTTTAAATGCAGCTTTTAATAGCTATACTGGAACTAGACTGATTTTTATTTCTTTGAAAAGACCAAAATATGAATACCACTGTTTTATAAAGCCTGAGATGTTAGTGGATCTTTTATATAAAAACTATGCTTTAAATGAAAGTCAAAAGGTTATTAAAAACAGGAGCTAATAGCTTTTGCTAGCAATAATGCATTTTAGGATAAACTAAACAGTAACAAGTCACCAGGACCGGATGACATTCAGCTAAGAGTTCTGCAAAAATGTAAATGGGAACTTGCAGAACTACTAACTACGGTTTGTAACCTATCCTTTAAGCCCTCTCCTGTTCCAAATGACTGGAAGATAGATTATGTGATACCAATCTTCAAAAATGACTTTATAGATGATCCTGGCAATTACAGACTGGCAAATCTAACTTCAATACAGGGGAAACTGGTTGAAACTATAGTAAAGAACAGAATTGTCAGATATATAGATGAACACAATTTGTTGGAGGAAAAGTCAACATGGTTTCTATAAAGAGAAATCATGCCTCACTAATTTATTAGAATTCTTTGAGGGGGTCAAGAAGCATATGGACAAGGGGGAGCCAGTGGGTAAAGAATTCTTTGATTTTCAGAAAGCCTTTGACAAGGTCCCTCACCAAGGGTTCTTAAGCAAAGTATGCTGTCATGGGATAAGAGGGAAGGTCCTCTTATACATTGGTAACTGATTAAAAGATAGGAACCAAAGGGTAGGAATAAATGGGCAGTTTTCAGAATGGTTAAAACTAGTGTTGCCTCCCCCTCCCCCCCCCAGGGGTTTGTACTGGGACCAATCCTATTCAACATATTAATAAATGATCTGGAGAATGGGGTAAAAAGTGAGGTAGCAAAATTTGCAGATGACACTAAACTGCTTAAAATAGTTAAATTCAAAGCAGACTGTGAGCTTCAAAGGGACCTCACAAAACTGTGTGACTGGGCAACAAAATGGCAGATGAATTTTATTGTCTAATGAATATTGAAAATCATAATCCCAACTACATGTATAAAACAATATGGATTAAATTAACTATTACCATGCAAGAGAGATCTTGAAGTTATTATGAATAATTCTCTGAACACATCCATTCAATGTGCATCAGCAGTCAAAAAATCAAGCAGAATCTTAGTGTATGTCTAGACTATATGCCTCTGCAAACAGAGGTATGTAAAACAGGCTACCCAACATAATCAACGAAGTGGAGATTTGAATATTGCACACACAGCACAGTGCTGCACATGGTACACAGGCATGGCCACTCTTGGGGTGGCATCCATCCCCAGTCAAGCTCAGAGAGGCAGAGAACATTGAACCCCTGCCAGGAGCACCTGCTGAGAGAGGAAGAAAGTGGAGGGGACCCCAGTGGCATTTTCTCTGGCAAGCAGCCTCTGCCATTCAAATACACCTCCCCCAACACCCTCTTCCATCCTCCAGTGGGCATGAATAGAAGTCCTTTCCCTGTGGGATTCTGTCACTGCTAGATATGGCATGTGTGTATCATGGAGGAAAAATAAACCAGACCATCCCCACCACCACCCACAAGCTCCTGGCTTGGCTGGCACCTTCCCATGCCAACTTGGTCCTGGAACATGTGGTAGCAAGGCTCCTCTGGGATAGCCATGCCCACTGTCTAGGTCACAGATGGCCTTGCCTGAAGCACTTCTCCTTTGTCTGACCCTGAGACCTTCCAGTGTCGGCTCATGGATGAGGGCTAGCCTTCATGCACCCTGCCTCCTGAGATGACTATCCTTCTCTCTGTTCTTCACAACTGGACCAGCTATGAGTGAGGTGCGTCCAACACCTCCCATGTCAGTCTCCTGAGACTGCGAAACTTAGAGGTGTTGGTGAACCCAAGAAGACCTGCAGCGGGAGCACATTGCCTGCCTACGTGCCCTGCAGTGGTATCTGAAGTTGCAGGACTGCAGACTGGATACAGACTTGGAGCTACATCCCGCCACCTGGCAGGAGCTCTTGTAGCAGGCCCAGAGCATGTGCGTGGCTTTCACTACTGCAGTTGACCAGACTGCGAAACTTAGAGGTGTTGGTGAACCCAAGAAGACCTGCAGCGGGAGCACATTGCCTGCCTACGTGCCCTGCAGTGGTATCTGAAGTTGCAGGACTGCAGACTGGATACAGACTTGGAGCTACATCCCGCCACCTGGCAGGAGCTCTTGTAGCAGGCCCAGAGCATGTGCGTGGCTTTCACTACTGCAGTTGACCTTTCAGCAGCCAGCATTCCACTCCTGCTGCTGCTCCAGCCCCAGGTCCAGATCCTGGCACTGCTCCCACCTTCATACAACCAGTCTCTCCTCCCAAACTCTCCCCCACACCCACTGAAAGCCATAATAGGTGGTGGAACCACTCGAGACAGCTGCTAGTTCCAGCCCCATCCCTGAGCCCCTGCTCCACCCTCCTCCCTCTTCTATCTCCCTCTTCTCCACTTCCAGATTCTTTCCCCAGTCCCTCCCCAGTTATATTTACCCCAATTAAAAAAACAGTTTATTGTTCAAAAATAAAAAGTCTTGTTTATTGTATCTTCAGGGCAGGCGGAGGGGACAAGGGAAGGATGGGTGAGAAAAGGCACAGAGGGGCAGTACAGAGTCCCCTTGTGGGAAGGCCCAGTGGAGAATGTCACAGGTATCATTATCTGAAACTGTCTCTCAGGGTGTCCCAGATGTGCACAGCTTCCTGATGAGCCTGTTGGATGGCAGCCGTCTGTGTCTGTTCCAAGACCCAGGCCAACTGCTCAGCCTCTGCATCGTATATGTTCCCTGACCACCAGACATTAATGTTGGTGAACTGGCCTCCATGGTCCATTAGGGCCTGCAGGACCATGGAAAAGTACCCCTTCCGGTTGATATAATCCTATGCCCAGTGGTTGGGGGACAGAATGGGTGATGGCACACCCCACAGTTGGGGAAGCCCACGGTGGCAAAGCCAGTGACAATAGGGTCCATGTTTCCCAGTATGATGACCCTGCACAGCGGGATGGTGTTGATGGCCCTCTCAACCTGTAGGAGATAAACAGGGAATCACAGGTTTCCAGGACCCTCAGGAGTTTCCTGAGCCCAACCACAACTTACCCCTTCCCTCAGCAGGGCTTTGTGAAAGTGGGACTGAAAAACTTGTCAGGGAGCATCATACCTGCATGACCATGGCCCCAACAGTTGATCTCCCCATGCCAAACTAGTTCCCAACAGAATGGTAGCTGTCCAGCATGAAAAGCTTCTAAATAGCAATGGCAACCAGCTTCTGGTGGGCAATGGTTGGTAGCATGTGGGTGTCCTGTTGCCAGAGGGCAGAGGTGAGCCATTCACACAGCTCCAGGAAGGTGTCCTTCCACGTGCAGAATTCTGGAGCCACAACTTTTTGTCCCACCACTCCATGACAATGTGGTCCCACCAATCAGAACTGGTGTCCTGTTGCCAGAAGCGGCAGTGCACGGTGCGCAGCAGGAGGGAGGGGCTGCGCTGCATGTGGAGAGAGGTGAGGAGGTGCCTCACAGTGAGCTGCATGTCCTGTTTCTCAAGAGAAATGAGGGCTGCCCGGCAGTAACTGCAGCAGGAGGTGTGGCAGCAGGTCCAAGAGCTGGTGACTGCTTTGCAGCAGGCCTGGCTCCATGACTAGAGTGTTGTGGCGTCCACAAGGGCAACCAGACACAAAATGAGAAAAGTTTGCTGTCCCTCAAGGAGGTAGGCAAAAGTAAAGAGCCTGAGACACAGCTGTGCAAGGAGGTCACCTTAAGCATGAGACTCAGATAGACTCAGGTAGCAGCTCCAGGAGGTGACTGCTGTCCTGAAGCCCTGCCTGAAGTGTTTCCAGGGGTATTAATGAGATTCAGGCTCCAATCAGTGTAGATGCTCTATTTCAAAATAGTTCCGCACTATTTCGATGGGCATTTGTAGTGTAGACGTGCTATTTCGAAATGAGGTATTTCAGAGTTTTTATTCTGAAATTGTTTATTCCAAAATACACGTGTAGTATAGACTTGCCCTAAGGTACAGACTAACATGGCTATGACTCTGATACTTTTCATATCATGGCCACGGCTTGTCATGGTTTTGTAATCTCAAAGCTAGATTACTGCCAGGCCCTTGGTTTGAGACTGTCTTTGAAAAGGAATTTGAAACTTCAACCAGGGTTGAAATCCGTGAGTCAGCTGTTAGATGAGGTATACTGTTCTAATCTTACTGCTGTGCATTGCTTATCTGTAATTATAGCATCAGGTCTGACAACCATTTTGTGCATAGAAGAGGGGGAGGATCTACCTGATCTCTCTTGTATAGCAAGACATTACAAACCAGGCCAAGGCCCTTTTCATAGGAGCACCCATACCTCTCACACCTCCCTTTTGTGGGCTGCTAGAGTCAAATAAGAATGGCAACACTTTACTCTGGCCTAAATGATGGGTCAACACAGAACTGGTGCACTGTCTTGCAAGATTCCAGATATAGTGTAAAATCAGACTGAGTAAGGCTTAGCAGTACAGCATATTAAGAGCAAGGAGCGTGGAGAGGGATGGCAAGGTGAATTCTATAAGACTCTTTTTGTGAAAATTTTATTGCCCTTGTTAATAGTTGTTCTCAGTGATGGAAAACAGCTAGGCAATAGATAACACATGTTTCTTTATAAATAATTACCATTCTTTTTGGACTTTTATATAACACCGTGGAATTAATTAGATTTTAATTGTTCTATAGTAGGCTCTAATAGAAAAAAATAGAACATGTAATATTATAGTAGAATGATTACATCTTTAGATACAAACATACATAAATTGTGAGTACATAGTTATTTATCTCTAGAGAAAGTCTTATCTGGAGAAGACTCTAAGAAATTAAAGCAGTCAATTTCAAATTTTATACAATTGAATTCCTTTAGTGGATGATTAGCCCTAAGTGTTAAAACAAAACAATCCAAAACATTCTTTAAAAGTCCCTTGTACTGATGACTGATGTACTATTAAAGCAGCGACTTGAGTGGCATGTTTATTTTCCTTGCAAAATTAGCTGAGGAAGCTTATTGCTGGATGCTTTTAAGAGCATTGCTGTTAATAACAGAAGCATTTGGTTTTTGTGTGCACAAGTGCGTATCTGTTTGCCAGAAATAATAAGAAAAAAGGTACCATGTTCATCCCTGGTATAACTTTATTAATTCCAAAACAGTAGCACCAGTGGGAGAATTTGGCCCCAGTTTAGTTTATCCATTATAAAGCAGTCAGATTGATTTGCACACTATCTCCATGTATAAAAACCTATTCCAGAACTGTTTGTAATAGATAAAACAGAAGAGCTCTCATGGCTTCAGATTAAACAGTTCAGGTACAGCCTATGTATCCTTCAACCTACATTTTGATCTTGGGGATTATTAAACAAAATTCCCCATGGATTGAAATGGGAACGCACGTAAAAATACTGGAAAAAAGTTTAAATGTTTGGCTGGGATGAATATTTTATATATTCAATAAAGAGTGTGTCCTTCACAAGTCATATATTTTACTCTAAACCTTAGTGGAGGTTTCCATAATGTACTGGACATGGGTATTTTAAAAATAATATGTTTTTAAGGTGGACAAATAGTAAAACGATATTTCTTACTGCAGTCAATGTAAAGTGGTAAGAACCAATGGCAAAAGACACAGATGATGTTTTGAAATGATGCTTTCTGACATGGTAGTTTTTTGATATGTAATGTTTTCCTTCCAAAAGTTTGATTATTCTTAACCTCATATGGAATGATAGGATTTTATTCAGTTTCTCTCACCAATGGCTTTGAATGTTATGTGGTATATTATAATCTTGCTTAATATTTGTCTTCACATTCATTTTGTTAGATTTTTTAAAAATTAAGCTAATGTATGAATTGTTTTATCCAGTCCACAAATTGTGTGACTCGAGCATACACTCCAGGACGCTGGGGCAGTGCACACTGATAGCCAAAGGATGTCACACCTGCCAAAAGCCACCTGCTGTTGTCTTGAATCATTAGGGCTCCTCCTGAATCTCCCTGCAATATTGAAATTCAAGAGTTAAAAAACATCTCCTCTCTATTTTGAAGTAACTTTGGAACTTCAAGATGTTTTGCCTGACTGGATTCCACTTCTGGTGCAAATGTTTTTGATATACCCAGAAAGAGTACCACATGGATAAATATTCAAAGGAGAATACTCTGGATTTTTTATGAACATAACATAGGATCTGAAGCTCTTAGACACCTGTCAGTCATGAGCTGTATCAATCAGGAGCATAGTAGAATCCTTTGCACTAACTGATTTACTTATCAACTGTAGGTTGTACCCTCTTACTCTGGACAAATCCTTATGACATGGGCTTTGCACAGGAGACTTCTGCTGGGTCTGAGGGAATAAAATCTTCCTTCAAAGGCTGCAGAACAGCTGCAGAAACTGTCTCACTGTATCAACAACCTGCAGGCTGTCTGTGCTTGCTATATCCTTCCTAATTCTTGTTTCTTTAGTCATTGATTATACGCTGATCTGTCTCACTCTAAACATGTTCATGCCTCCTTGCTTTTCCCCTCTTAGGTGCAACATAGGGGTTAGAAACACGAGCGGCTTAAGGCGGGCTGCGGCAGCTAGTGCCCTAGGTGGAACGCGCAATTGGCGCCCCTGCCTGCACGGCCGTCAATGGGGTGACGTCATCATTGGGTGCCCCGTGACGTCATCATCGGGCACTGTTGAAGGCGGCGCCCTAGGCGACGGCCGAGTCGGCCTATAGTCACGGACTGCCCCTGCCAGCACAGGTAGAAGCCAATCTATTATGTCCCCCTTTCATCTGGGAGTCTGCTGAAACTCCATAAAGACAATTTCATTCAGTATATTGCAGTTATAGGACACAAGCCAGAAGCGCCAAGCATAGATCCAGTGAGAACCACATTATATAGCATGCTGCCATAAGAACATGATTAAAACAGTCAGCAAAACCAGAGTTCATGCTGACAGAAGCAGAACCAATCTATTATGTCCCCCTTTCATCTGGGAGTCTGCTGAAACTCCATAAAGACAATTTCATTCAGTATATTGCAGTTATAGGACACAAGCCAGAAGCGCCAAGCATAGATCCAGTGAGAACCACATTATATAGCATGCTGCCATAAGAACATGATTAAAACAGTCAGCAAAACCAGAGTTCATGCTGACAGAAGCAGAACTAAGAAGCATTCAGTACTGCCTGCCTCCCTGCAAAGAGGGAGCACACTGAAGGCTGGGGTGGACAATGGCTTCTTAGGACGCTATGCTGCTCAAGGGAAAGAAGATCATAAGAAATCAACCCTGTTATCTTGTCCCAAAGAAGGGCTATCCATCCAAGTAGTTGGACCTTTCATTTCTTGAGGATTTATAAAGTAATAAATGTTTGAAGGTAATGTCCTTTTTACAGCTCTCCATCTATCTATCTGCAGTATTTATTGGACTTGTATCATCTTGGGATTTAAGCCTCAGCATCTCACATTTTCACCTCAAAAAATGTCATCCTCCTAAGGAGGACACTCAGCAGAAATGGTGTGAAGTTCAATATACGGTACTTCTAACACCCTATATCACCCTCTAGCATTTTTTTAATGTCAGGCATGTCCCTTCTAACCTTAAAGACTATTAGTAGGTCCCTACCAAATTCACAGCCATGAAAAATGCATCACAGAGCATGGAATCTAGCCTCCCACTGTGAAATCTAGTCTTTTGTATGTTTTTACCCTATATTATACAGATTTTACAGCAAGACCAGCGTTTCTCAAAATGAGGTTCCTATTCCAAAAGGGAGTTGCTGGGGGTTATTTTAAGGGTGTTGTGCTATTGCCACCCTTACTTCAGCACTGATTTCAGAGCCAGGCAGCTGGAGGGTGACAGTTGTTAGCAGGGCACCAAACTCTGAAGGCAGAAGCACAGAAGTAAGGTTGGCAATAAAATCACATTACCCTTACCTCTATGCTGCTGCCTTCAGAGCATCCAGAGAGTGGTGGCTGCCGACTGATGGTCCAGCTCTGCTGGCAACAGTGCAGAAGTAAGAGTGGCAATACGATATCATATCACCCTTCTGCATTGCTGCTCGTGGTGGCTTTACCTTCAGAGCTGGCCTTCTGACCAGCAGTCACTGCTCTCTAGAGGTAGATCTATACTATCGCATTAATTTGAGTTAACTTAATTCAAAATAGTTAATTTGAATTAAGCTAATTTGAAATAACGCATCTATAAACAAAAACTATTTCAAAATAGCGTTTTGCTATTTCAAAACAGTGCGTCCACACTGAGTGGACCCTGAACTGAAGTTAAGGCTGGCCAGAACTTAGTGTGTGGGGCTGCTGCCTGAGGCTAACTGAGCTCCGTGCTTAAAGGGACCCTACCCTCACCCCAGACAGACAGTTCTCAGAGTTACCCGCTTGCTTGTCTACCTTGATGAGGGACAGAAAAGCAGTCCTGTCTTGGAGTGCCCTGAGTGCCCACACTCAGGATACCACAGCACTCAGCCACATGGAGCCAGAGCTGCCCCTGGGCATGCCGGTGCATCTTGTGGTGTCATTGCCATCAGCCCAGCTGCATTTGCTGCAGGCTGCCATCCGGGGGATCCATCGGGGGGCTGTCAGGATTCAGGAGGCCCTGCGGGAGAGCGTCCACCCCAAGGAGCCCTCAGAGCCACCCCGGACCTCCACACCAGGGTCTCGTGTCCCATTCCTCCCTCACGTCCTTCCACTTATCCCACCCTAACCCCCCTTCCTGATGTCAAACAAGACACGTATGTTCAAAAATAGAAACTGGGTTTATTGGACAAAACTGGTGGGGGGGGGATAAACCTCTGGGGACACTGGGAAAAGGAGGTGGGAGAGGGGAAGAGAGAGGGTATGAGAGGGGAGGGGAAAACTTAGGAGGAGGAAGCTGGAAGGGGGAAGCAAGGGGAAGAAGAGGGAAGGGAAGCTCAGGGCCCATTGTTGGGGATCTCGCCAGACCAACTTGATTTTCATGTGAACCTGCTCCTGGGTTCTCATGTGGCCTATGGTGGCCAGACTGGCAACAATCCTACCATAGATGGCCACATTCCTCCATCTAGTGTGGGGATCATGGATCCCTCCCAAACCTGAATAAGGTCCATGATCTCCAACCTGTACCAGGAAGGCGCCCGCCTTCTCCAGCCCCTTTCAGGCTCCTGGGAGCTGGCAGACTGCTCCTGGGGAGTGGTGAAGGGCTGGCTACTAGTGGCTTGCTGGCTCATGTTTTGGGGCCACTGGGTCAGGAACCCTGGTGGCCACTGCTGGCTCTGGGCTGGCAGGCTTGGAGCTGGCACAGACACTGTGGCCAGGGTCTACCCCTTTAATGTCTCCAGGGTTGGGGGAGAGGAGAGTAAGTTTTCCTGGTTGTGCCCAGAGTGGCCACCAGGGCTCCCTGGGAGGGGCTGGAGGCCCCCTATTTTGAACTGAGTGTCTACACAGCACTTAATTCAAAATAACTATTTCGAATTTGGCATTACGCCTCGTAGAATGAGGTTTACCAAATTTGAATTAAGGACTCCGCTATTTCGAATTAATTTAGAAATAGCGGTATGCATGTATAGACACTATTAAAGTTAATTTGAAATAATGGCTGTTAATTCGAATAATAACAGTCATTATTTCAAATTAACTTTGCAGTGTAGACATATCCTAGTTGCCTAGCTCTGAAGGCAGCACCACTAGTGCCGCAGAAGTAAAGGAAGCCGTAATAACATTGCAACTCCCCACAGTTGCTTTTTGAGTCAGAATCCCTACAATTATAATACCCTAAAATTTCAGATTTAAATAGCTGAAATAATGAAATTTACAATTTTTAAAATCCTAAAACTGTGAAATTGACCAAAATAGACTGAATTTACTAACACCCTCTCTCTGAAGTACAAAATAGCTTGTAATCTTTAAAGCATATATCCTGCTACTGTATGCAATATATAAGTCTCTGAGTAAAAATTATATTCTATGCGTGGCTAGTTTTTAATGATCAGAGGACCAATTATGAGCTGTTCCATAATTAGAAAAGGGGAGGGCAAAATATGCTTGTGAACCAGATCTGGCCTGCCAAACTTTCAGATCTGACATTCCACACTACCTTGGGCTGCCAATGTTCTGTGGCCCAGTGGTACCCTCAGGTAGACTTCCTGCCTGCTGTGGCCCCACATGCTCCTCAACGTGGTCAACTGCTGGGGCCATACGCACCTATGCACTGAATGCGCCATGGGGATGCCCCCACACCCAGCACAATATTCATGGCTCTCATTGACCAGTAATGATGCTTGCAAGAATTGTACTGAGGCGGGGGCAGCATGTGTAGCTCCTCCCATCCATGAGGTGCATGGCACAAAGATATATATGGATTCTGCAGGCAGCTGCTTTGAGCGGCAGGTGAGGGCTCAGCAGGTAGGGAACCTGTCTGAAGGTTCCACTGGGCTGTTGGCCAGGAGGTGCTTACTGTATGTAGCAAGCGCCTCCCAGACAGAACCTGCACTTGGCATCTCATCATCTTCCTTCCCACCAACTGCTTCCCCCAGGTCACAACTCAAAACCCTCTGAACCCTGTCCTGAACCCTCCCCAGGTCAGAATCCTCTCCTGCACCCATACTCCCTCCTGTACCCCAAAAACTTGCCCTAGGTCACAACCATCTCCTTCATCCAAACTCCCTCCCAGATTCCACACCACCTCTTGCAGCCCAGTCCCTCACCTCTAGCTCCCTTCTGCACACAACCCCCATTCCAGATCCTGCACCTCCTCCATTAATAGTATAGAAGAGTGCATCCCTGACTACTTACCAAATTCTAAGAGTGGCCCTCCTTCAAAAGTTATTGAGGTAGAAGGACTATAGTATGAACAACAGAAATGGGTTGTTTGTACTTACCTGACAGGAATCTACTCCTCCTTCATCATAGCCTGCACACATCATATTTTCTGTAATATTATATTGTGGCAGCTGTTGTTGACATTTCTCATTTGTTATAAGAGGGACCTCTGCTTCTTGCAGTATGTTTGCAGTGGAACCTTATCAAAACACAGAGTATACACAACCAATGTGATCAAAATGCACAGTGTAAACAACAGCCATTATTCCTCTAGTGATTCTGAAATTTCAGTCTTATTACAGGGCACTATTGAGGTCCTGGGCTGCCACTTCATTACTTCAGTTTGTACCAGCAGGACCACACTAAACTATATCGATGTACTTATATTGCCCTGGCTCACTGTCTTTAATGGATTATATCCTCAGCGAGGTAAAGAAATATGACCTCTATTTTATAGATGGGGAGCTGAGGCAAAGGGTATATTATGTGATCTGCCTCCAAGAGAAATATGGTGGAGCTAGCATTTGAATAAAGGTCTCCTGAGTCCCAGGGTAGGCCCTTCCTCCTCAGTCACTGGAATTACTCTGGAGTAAAAAGTAGCAAATGACATCCTGAGCTTTTATAACAGGGATCTTTGCTAAATTTTGTTTTTCAAATAACTTAACAAAGTCCATAAGTATATATTATTATGTGTGGATCCATGGACTAATTAAGAATGTGGCTTTGACTTTCGTTGAGCAGACTTTATGATTTTCAGTTGGCCAATTTAACTCCTTCCAGTAATTTAAGCTATTAATTATTAAGCGAAGCTTTAAAGTGCCATTGTACTCTGAAAGTAGCTCCACAAAACTGGTAGAGATGTTCCATGTTTATTGCTCTGTGACACTAGATCAATATGCTTGATTTACAAATGAAAATGTAAACGCTCAGCTCTGGAAATTTAGTCTAGTCTCTAACAGTCAAGCTGTATTCTTTCCTCTGTATGCATCCTTACCAAGACAGGTTGAGTCTCTCTAGTCAGGCACCCTGAGGACTAGACTAGTGCTGAACCAGAGAATTTGCTGAATTATGAGATGTCAATATTGTCTAGCAGCATTACCAACACTTCCACTGCTTACTGGGCTCTTAGAAGACAAGTACTGTACTTAGATTCTGTGCACGCCTCTCATACTTGTTTGGTGAAGGGAGGGGACAGAGGTGTAAATCACAGAATCTAAGTGCTTTCTCCTCGCTCCCTTATCGTCAGGGGAACTAGAAGAAAAGCAAGTTGCTTCCCAGTACACCTGGCTGCTGCCCCCTGCTTTTGCTCAGTTGCTTAAGCAAGATGAAAGAGAGAATTTCAGCCTTAAATCTACAGAAACAAGTCTTTTTTCCCCATAAGAAGTACACTCCATTATAGTCAATGGACCAAAAGTCAGTCTCAATAGACGATGATCTGTTAGAGTTCAATCAAATCTTTTACGTTACAGCAGAAGAGAGCACTGGTCTAGGGCTCAAGATACTTTAGTTCTAATTGTGACTTTGCCTGAGGGGGGATATTGGGCAAGTCATGTCACCACTCTGTGACTCAGTTTCCTTACTTGTAAAGTGCTTATAATAAAACATCTTTTGTAACGTATTTTGAGAAATACTGAGGAAAGATGCTATTTAAGAGGTATGTATTTCAGACAAATTCAATCCACAAATATGCACAGGCAATGCATAGTGACTTCTATTGTGTGCACAGAATTAGAAACAAATACAAAAATCAAACTGAAAATAAAACATTGTTAACTATGAGGGAAATTAGCCAGTGAGACGATTTCCCAAGCAATGTGGTAGATTTCCCTTCACTTGAAGTCTTTAAAAGGTAGAGTAAGTAAGTAAATAAATAAATAAATAAATAAAATATCTTTGATCTCTGACATCGAAGAGCTTTCCTTATTATTTGGTGTGGTAATTTAAAGTGTGATGACTTACCTTGGTACACAGTTCTACCCCAGCCAGCAATAAAGCAATTAATTCCTGGCAAAAACTGTTGACTTGCTTCAGGTAAGCAAATAGGCTGTATGTAATCTGTGAAAGATAAATAATTCATTTTAATTTATTTCTAATATTCTGATTTTTGAGATGTCGGTTACCAAAATGCACATTGATCTAACCCTTGTATTCCTTGCTTAGTCAAAATTCCCAACAAATGCAGGACTAAGTCCACAATGATTGGTTTTCCAAAATTATATCAACTTTATAAGGATAAGTCTAAGTAGCTCATAAACCATTCATTACTGAGTAAAATCAGGCTGACTTGTACACTTGGAGCTAGCTCAAATTAATTTATACAGAGTAAATAAGTGTGTAAGGGAAGACCTACAGTCCTACCTGTATAATTGACTTTGAACTGAAGATGCATCATAGCAATGTCATTATTTTTTGTGCGCTTGTTATAATGGGGATTTATGACGATTTGGTCGATCTCTTGAATTACTGTCTGAGGATAAGTCAGATTCAAAGTGGTGTGCAAGCCAAGCACTGCTTTCCACTGAGATGGTATTAAATTCCTCCTAGAGATTGCAATAAATATTCACAATTATTTATGATCAAATGAAGGATTTAAACAATTTTCCATGTATAATTTATATTAATTGTTAATACCCTCAAGTGTGTGTATATACACTCTCTCTCCTTTCTCTCTGTCACACATGCACACGCACACACACACACACGATATATTTTTTTCAGATTATCTGGTGTAGCATATTGTCATTTGAAAGTGCTTAGGGTTTTCTGACAGCACTTCTGGCCTAAGGTTTCTATTACAGAACTATCAGTTATTTTTTGGTATTAACCAAATTATAGATTTATACAGATTAGCATGCACAATAGCAAAGTTAGGGAAGAAGCATTCATTATTATGACCCTTTAAACATGTGAAATTAAAAATCCCCACATGATTAATAATCACTCCCCAGAAAGAAAATTATGAGCATGGAATACCTTGGAGATGGATAGACTATATGTCTACATTGCAACTGGGAGTTGTAATTGCAGCACATGTAGACATACCCTATCTTTAATTTAGCTAGTTCAAAGGTAGCTCCAGTTACAATAGCAGTGAAATCACTGTCGGCAGTAACTTTTTAAACATGCACCAGAGTTTGCGGATGGACAAAACTAGGGATGTTAAAATAGCCAGTGGGGTAAGAGCAGCCCCCGCCACCCACAGCTGCAGCACAGTGGAGCTGTAGCAAACTGTGGTCAAGCTGGAGCAGTCCCCCACCTGCAGCCTGTGGTTAACTGGTTAAACAAATCACTCAACTGGTTAACTATTCTAGGCGATTTTTACATCCCTAGACAAAACTAGATCATTTTACCACAACTTCATTTGCTATTGTTACTCAAGCTACCTAGATCAAAGGTAGTTCAGGTATGTCTAGACATGCTGCAATCACACCTCTTGATTGCAGACATACCATTAGACATTTTTAATTCTTTTTACCTACACCTGAAAAAAAAATCTAGAAAATTGGAATGAAACAGAAACACAGCATTTAAGAGAAAAAATACGTCAGGTTCTTTCCTCTAGAATACATATTGATTGCAGAGCTGTACTGGATGGAGTTTAGTTAGAGACCTGCTTTGTAGCTGATGTTGTTTTGAACCATCAAAGTGTCCACTGAATGAATTGATTTACAAACAGTATAAATACTTAAGTGCCTGATTGAAGCTGAGCACCCAAATTTCTTGCAGTTCTCTACAGTGATTGGAATGCAACAAACATTGATGTCTGTAAAAACAGTTAGGCTACATCTACACTACATGCTTCTTGCACAAGAAGCCTTTTGCACAAGAGTTTTTGCGCAAAAACTTCTTGCACAAGAGCACATCCACACCTCAAAGCACATTGCAAATGCAATGCGCTTTTGTGCAAGAGAGCATTCACACTGTATGCACTCTCTTGCACAAGAAAGCTCTGATTGCCATTCACAGAATGGACATCAGAGCACTTGTGCTTTTTCCCATACTATGGCTGCATCTAGACTGGCATGATTTTCTGGAAATACTTTTAACGGAAAAGTTTTCTGTTAAAAGCATTTGTGGAAAAGAGCGTCTAAATTGGCATGGATGCTTTTCTGCAAAAACACTTTTTGCAGAAAAGAATCCATGCCAATCTAGATGCGCTTTTCCGCAAAAAAGCTCTAATCGCCATTTTCGCGATTGGGGCTTTTTTGTGGAAAACAAATCTGAGCTGTCTACACTGGCCCTTTTGCGCAAAAGGGACTTTTGCCTGAATGGGAGCAGAATAGTATTTCTGCAAGAAGCACTGATTTCTTACAGTAGGAAGTCAGTGCTTTTGCGGAAATTCAAGCGGCCAGTGTAGACAGCTGGCAAGTTTTTCCGGACTGGAAATTTTTCCGGAAAAGGGGGCTGTTTTTCCGAAAAACTTGGCCAGTCTAGACACAGCCATAGGGTTTTCTTCTGCAAGAAACCCCTCTGGAGCATCCACGCATGCCTTTTTGCGCAATAGCTGTAGCGCAAAAGGGAGTTATGCTTTATAAAAGGAGGTTTACCTACTCCAGCAAAAGCCCTCTCTTCTGCTGTTTAACTGCTGATTTACTTGTGCAAATGTTCATTTGAGGTGTGAACGCTCTGCAGGTTTTTGTACAAAAACACCTTTTTTTGCACAAAAACCTTGAAGTGTAGACATAGCCTTTGTGATATATACAGACTATCTCTGAATATGGTGAAATGAAATTCATGTATATTGACAATTAACGCAGGCAAACACCTTAATTAATGCTCAAGATGTAGAGGTAGTGGACGCTTTCAGTTATCTGGGATTATACATTATGCAGGCTGTTCTAAAAAATTTGGGTAAAAATTTAAGAATGATTTGCTCCTCGAGACCCTCCCCACAACAAAAGTTTGGAAAAATAGAATCTTAAAATGTTCAGTATTTCACCTGGTGAAAAGCTTAATTTTCTCAATAGCAACCCAGGGATGTGAATTATAGGAAATTAATGCTGGATGACAAGAAGAAAACTGAAACCTTTGAAATGTGCTGGCAAAGAATCTTACATACTTCCTGAATGGCAAAGATGAGGAATGTTTATGTTATAATAGTGCTGGAAAGGAGCAGCCTCTGTAATAGTAATCAACAGACACAAACTACTTACTTTGGTCACATCAGACACAGAGATGGAAGTAACTTTGAGTTATCATGGTAGGGGATGATGGCTAGTCATTGTACTAAGGTATGAACTTTGAGGGGATGGATAGAGGGTGTAGAGCAGATTATTGGGAGGTAACCTGCCAAGTCCTCATAGATAGCAGTGGACAGAGAAAACTGCCATGTCACCAATATTCAGATATAAATAAATGGCTTTTACTTATTTACTTACAATAGTGATAGCTCCTCCATGATTTTTAAATGCTATTTTCCTATTCTTGGTCACCTCTACAGCACTTTAACCGTAGACATAACAGTAACATATTGTAGGAAATACTGGAAAATATATCTCATCTTCTCACATTATGTGTAGTGCACCATAGAGACTATTTGAATTGATTTACATGTCTATTCAGACAAATTGAGATTTATTCCGATTGCGCAGAGTAGTGTAAATCTTCATCAATCTCTCATAGTGTATAGCAGAGAGTCATAATTACAGAGGCGACACGAAATTTACTTTTATGTGATATGATGTCATTCTTTACTCTCACACCATTGGCAAAGCTCTGAGTGAGTAATGAAGACACCGAATTAATTACAAATGAAGTGCATATGCTCGGTGAGGTATCATATATTTCATGTATACACCCTTCCATTTTCCAGAAAGTGTCTCTTGATTTATATACATTCCTTACTGAAGTCACTGAAATGAGGGACTACAAAGAACTCTAAGAACTCTGAGCTGGAGTCCATCTCTTATTAGGTGAATGAATAATTCAGAATGTAATAATTAAATGACGAGTGGGTTTTTTAACTGTTCTGATCACTAATTTCAGGCTTTCCCTAGTCTGACTTCAGTGGTAATGTCATTAATATAAAACCAGATCTCTACTTTACATGAGTTGTCACCACAATATTATTCACTGGGGGGACAGAGAGAAAGAGAGAGAAAGAGAGAAATTAGATGTTCAAAAAATCCTACAGAACCTCCTCAAGTTGCATACATGTTCCTCATAATTTATATTGTCTCTGTCTATTCTCCATTTGAACACAGTTTTGTTAGTGAGTTTTCAAATACCTAATCTGAATCATTTATCTGATGGGCCTTTGGATCACTAAACATTTCTTTTTTAACATTGAAAATACACAATTAATTTGGCAACACAACACTATTCTAATATGAAAAAGTCCTTTTACTGAGGCAAAATAACTGAATATTATTTAAAGCAGAAATGTCAGCCCTGATTGTGCAGTCAGATCCATCAGAACATAGGAATATAGAACTGGCAGGTATCCCCTGAGTCAATGAGTCCAGTTGCTGCCACTGAAGGCCACTACATTTACTTCTGTTCATGGCATCCATACAGAGAGATCCCTGAGAATATATGGTTCCCCACTGACTTCAATGGGACTCTGTGATTATGTCTGCACTGCAATAAGAAACCTGTGATGGCAAGTCTCAGAGGCTCAGGTTAGGGGTTGAAAAATTTCAGTGTAGCTTTTCAGGCTCAGGCTGTAGCCTGGGCTTTGAGACCTACTCTCCTTGTGGGGTCTCAAAGTCATGTTCAAGTACATGGCTGGATGCCTACACTGCAATTTTATAGCCCCACAGCCTGAGCCTCGTGATACTGATTCAGCTGACCAGAGTCAGCCATCCGTCTTTTATTGCAATGTGGACAGGTGGCTACCAGAGTCACCCCATGCATACTTGATCGACAGGTCAGGGCCATTCTGTTAACCCAGCTTTTAAGTCAAGCATCTTCCATCAGACTATATGTATCTTTTGGGAAGGTCAATGTGTTAACTTAAGGAGAAAGTAAACATTACCCATATACACAGTGTGCTGCTGAGACCAGCCATTCATCACTGAGGAGGGAAGCTCCACATGTAGGCCTATCCTTAAAAAACAGTGAGACTACCCAAGGCCAAGCTCCTTCTTTGGCATCACTTCCACCTACAATCTTTCCATTGATCTGCTGGGTTATCAGCTGTTTTCCACAAGCTAGAATTAGTAAAGTGAAGAGAGACATGGAATTAATCTATGCCATATTTCAAGATGCAGACAAGATACAAAGTTCCAGTTTGGAACTGGATCTGATCTTCCTTAAAGTTCTAGCGTGGTTTGGATATCTGCTTTTTGTTTCTTCCCATCGTACGTTTAAATATAGAAACACTTAAAGATTATAACTATTCCTGCTCTATGAAATTAGTTTATATTTTACTGCTAAAAACTTTCAAACAATATACATGGAGTTTATAGACATAACGATTTGATTTTTAACATGGAATTTTCTTAGGAAATATATGCTTACGTTTATCGTTGCATTGCAAATACATCACCAGATTATTGAGACACTGTTTGCTAGAAGGAAAGCACAGAATGAATGTTAAAAACACAGATATCTGTAGGCTAGCTGACATTACTTGGGTAGGTTTAAGTGCACTTTGGCATCATTATAAAACTCCTTTTGCATATCAAGTTTATTCTAAAGGAAAATGACAGTGTTAATGTGCTGTCATTTGACTGTACTAGGCAATGCTTGAATGTAGGTTTCAGTTATAATACACAAAATAGATATTGCACATATAATTATCTTTTGCTGCACTGCTGATTGAAATCTGAGCATATTATAGAAATAAAACTATGCTAATCTTTGGGCGGGAAAAGTAATTTACTAAAATTTTGAATCCAATACAAAACTGAATTGAATATGGATTTTTTTTGCTGTCTACTTAGGTGTTTTCAGGAACTTACCACTAGAGATCAGTGTAACCAAAGAATTAAAAAAATATATTAGTCTGATCTCAGTGTAGCTTTCATGGAGCTAACACTGCATTGTAGAATATGTAGAGAGACACATATAAAGGCTTAGGAATTATTTAGAAGAGATATAATGCCAGAAGCTTGAAGAGCACAAGGCTACAGATCAAAACTACTCAAGCTTTTCTGACACCCAGAGGTTTTAAGGTTATCTTCATCATTTGTAATGAATCTGAGCATCGAGGACAGTACCTGTGCTGCCAATTAAATCTGACATACAAAAATATACCAGGAAAGAAAATCAAGGGAGGACTAGTTTATCCTACAGTGTGTTTATTAGATGAATCAGAGTATATAGCGTGATTATATACATTTAGCTGTCAACATTTTCCTATGAAACAACATCATACACTCAAGGTTTGTAATTCAGAATTAGTGTGTAGTTTTCACATTACAAACATCTCCTATTTTTGGTGTTACATATTACCCCCAGTTGTACTTTACACAGGGAAGCTAAATTCTTCAGTTTTTACTCAAACTCCCACTGAAAACTCATAAGCCCATGTAAAACAGCTGTGCATTGAGCTATCTGGCAGGGAAGAGGAATAAGCTGAGTCAGAAAGGGGTAAAGGAGAGAATGAACCTGCTCCAGCAGGATTGCATAGTAGCTAGGAATTTTTGCAAATGAGCTCTGATTGTCATGAAAAGAGGGACTTCAAACTGATGGGCCTCCATCTTTAGATCATGTTGGAGCTGTCAGCCTGGAGATTGGTTTGGGTCTGTTTATACTCATTTTCTATTCCTCTGGGTGCCAAATGGGTAGCTGAGGTGCCATTCCCCTCATGTTGGGTGAAATTTGTCAGTTGAATCATTTATTAGGCAAAAAATGCAGTTTGGACCAGCCTAGAATTATTCCTGAATTTGGAACAAACTTGCCAAATGTTTTTGTCCAAAACAAGGATTTGGGATTAGTTATAATTTGCTAAATGACCAGAAGAGAGGGTGATTTCACCTCTCTACTACATTTTAACCAGTGTTTATTGCATTCAGGTGAATCCAGTTGTCCTCAGAACCTGATAGGAAGAAGGAATTTGAACTTGGGTCTCACACATTGTAGAAAATTGCCCTAACCATTAGAACAGCTTCAGTAGAAGAGCTTGAAACAACCCCATAGCAGTGTATCCTACATGGATTCACTAGGGTACTCCCCTGAAACATTGGGGAATGTCTACTCTATGGCTGTGTCCAGACTCAGGGTTTTTTTCGAAAGTTCCTCTTTCGAAAGAAGGCGTTCTTCAATGTAAATAGGGCTTCTTCGAAAGAGAGCATCCAGACTCACTGGATGCTTTCTTTCAAAAAAGCAAGCCGCTTTTTCGAAAGTTCAACGTGCAGTCTAGACGCTCTCTTTCGAAAGAGGCTTGCAGTCTAGACATAGCCTATGGGATAAGATCAAATTAAGATATGTGACTTCAGCTATGTTAATTGTGTAGCTGAAGTTGAAGTAACTTAACTCAGCTTTTGGTGCTGTCGACACTGCAGGAAGTCAAAGGGGAACACTCTCCCTTCAACTTCCCTTACTCCTAGGGGAAGTAGGGTTACTGGCATTGGCCAGAGTGCCCCTCTCAGTTCAAACTAGCGTGTCTTCACTAGACTTGCTAATTCCAACACTGGAAGATTACAGAGGCAGCTTCAATCTTTTCTGTAGTGTAGACATAACCTTGGAGATCTGCATTCCAATCCCTTTACTACATCTAGCAGAAGGATGTGTGTGGAATTGAACATGGGTCTCCTACATATTGTATGAGCACCTTACTCACTGGTATAAAGGTAATAAGGTAGGCAACATCACATATTTCCCTTCTCCTTACCCCTCTTATTTCCTTGACTATCATTTGAAAAAGCCTCTAGAAATGAAACTCTGCATTCTATTTGGGATCAAATGAAATGTCCTGTCTGACACAGAATTAAACTTCTCTTGATTTGTTCAATTTGCCAATTTTTTTTAGAATTTTTTATCCTGGTTTGAGTTAAGCGAAAATTGTTTTTCAATCTTTTGCAACTGCCAGTAAAATGAAAAATCCAACTTTACTTCTCCTCCTCTCCCCCTGAAACATTAGGGAGGCCCAGTGCATGCCGACTGCTTCCCCTGCATTATTTCCAGAAGGTCCATTTAGGACCTGGATATAGGAGTTGGCCTGGCAATAAATTCTATGGTGGTGGCAGCAGATGACTTTGATATCTGCATGAGTTTTATCCTTCCAAGATGCTTTCAGCAGAAATATGTCGTGCTGCGAAGCTTGCCACACCACAGAGTTGCGTAGGAACACATCTCACCAATGCTTCTAGGGCTCGGATATGGTCCGATGCAAATGTTAGCCTCAGGTTCAGCCTTAGGACAAGGTGAACAATGTGGCTGCTTTGAGCCCTGCACCTTCAGGGCCTCACACTGCCCAGTTCCCACTAGGCCGCCTCTCCGCTTGCTCACTTTCTTGACAGGAAGCCTTGTGGCCTGCAGCACAGCCAACCACCTTGAACCCCACAAACTCTTTAAACAGGCTGGCTATCCTGTCAGGAAGCCAGTGTCCCGTGTTTCTCAGATGTAAACACCAGTTTTATCTCTGAGTCCTTACGCAGTCAAAACTCCCATCACCTTCAGTAAGAGTTTTCACTGGGCAAGGACTGAATGCAGTGTGGGATATGGCATTCATGAAAAACACTGCCCAATCCTCCCCTCATTCTGTAACAACAACTTCCGTGAAACTACATAATGGTAGCGTATAATGGTATCCCCACAATAAAGTGACCCTTATCAGATGTCCAACTGATAAACAGAAAAGGAATCTCTTTGTGCAGTAACGATGCAGTTAAGCTGAATGACTTTCTTTTCCTCTTGCTCTACTCATTTTTAGTGTCTAACTGATAGTAACGGAAGACATCTTTAAATCATAGACTGTTCTTGAAGATCCCTCATGACAAGACTTGTTTAGACATACATTTTATTAAAAAAAGAAAAATAGCTTTTAATGAGCCTCCATTACTTTAAGATATTTTCTTTCACCACCAGTGAGACTGATAAATATTTGATTTTAACAGGGTAGAATTAGAACTGAAAATGTATCAATCAGCTTCCAGCAGGAAAAAAAAGAAACCTCTGCAGCAAATTTAATATTCTCTATAGCTTTACCACTGTGCAATATGGCTCATAAGTGAAGCCTACAAGAGTATTGATGCATCCCATCTTCAATCTAGTCTCAGCAACTGAGCAATTATATGGTGATTTTCTGTGTCAGCGCATCTATCAAGGTTCCAGGAAAATGTAACTGTTAATGTGATAGGACTACTAAGTTTCCTTAGCTCCTTTAAGGCTCTGCTTTAACTGAAGTGTAAACTATCTTGCCAGTCAATGGCAAACACCTCTCCTTTTGTAGGTGCATCTGAAGCACTGGCACCTTTTGTGAATGTAATTCTTTGCAACTATTAAATTCAGAAAACCCACACAAACCTAATTTTATTTTTGTTACTATCACTTGCTTTAAAACATCTCCAGCCAGGAAGAGAGGTCAGGCTTTTTTGTTTTCCAGATGGCTATTACATTTGTATCAATCTATGTTCTTGTTAAGTGCTGGTGCCAAACCACCAGTTTTCAGTAGTTTCCTAACTATTTAAATGTAATATGAAAAGTGTTGTGGGCTATAGTTTAGGACATTGAACTGGGATTGGGAGATCTGGGTTTTTCTATTCTTGTCATCAATCTGAGCAATAACCATGGACAAGCCACCACACTTCTCTTGATTCTTCATTTTTAATTTGTTAATGATACTTACCGCCTTTGTAAAACACTTAGAAATCTGTACATATATGCTGGAACTATGGGTCTGGCAGTGCTATTGCACACCTGGTTTGAAGTACAGTTTGGACCTCCCTGGTCCAGCACCCTTGGGACCTGAGTGGTCCTGGAGAAGGGATTTTGCCAGACTAGGAGAGGTTATTTATGTCCCGCCTGCCACTGGCCTCCCAGCCTGGCTCTGCTCCTGGCCTGGCCTCTTGGATGGCTGTCCACCTATATCCAGACCGGCTGCCCTGGCAGTGCATTGCACACTCCCGCCGCTGGTGCTCCCAACCGTGCTGCAGCAGCACCAGCCCACAGTCCCAACAACGGGACTCCCAGCTCACCACGGCAGACTGCTGCTCAGTCATCGGGGTTCCCAACTCTGCCAGCCCTACCCAGCAGTTTTGGCCCCACTGTTGGGGCTCCTGGCCCTGCCAGCCCTACTGCAGCAGACAGGTGCCCCACCAACAGGGCTCCTGGCCCTGCTGTGATAGACCGCTGCACCACTGGAGCCCGCTGGTGTTCCGTCCGCTCTGCCACCACCTCATCTGGGTTCCTGCACAAGGGCTCCCAGGGCTGACCTCCCTACAAGTTCCTGGTCTCTGCAGGACTCCTGCCTCTGGCCCGCCATTGGGTCTCTCTAGTCCAGCAAGATCCATGGTTCTTCTGGACCACAGATGTTACCTGACCAAGGAATCCTGGTTGAGAGAAGTTGAATTTGTAGTTTTCATTATATACGGACTTTACAGTTTGGTTTAATGGCTCTTAGCACCCACATTGCAAAAATTGTTCCAGCATACCTAGATCTCTGAACAGTAATGAAATGAAAGAACAGTACTATTTATTATTGTAGTACCAAGAACCCCTAACCAAAATTGTAACATACAAATACATAGGCACAAACCCTGCCCCAAAATCTTACAATAGACAACACATATTAGGGGAAGTAGAGACACCAAGTTGTGAAATACTTGACCAAGGTCACACAAAAAGTCCGTGGCAGAATTAGAAAAAAATGTAGGTCTCCTAGTTCTCAGTGCAGTGCCTTACATACTAAATCACACCGTCTGTGAGCAAAACATTTATTATATACATTTTTATTTACCTCCATCATAACTGTGATCCTTACAGTGGGAAAGATGCATTGATACCTACCTTGGCATAAGTATTGTGCTCTGGTTAGCTGCTTTGGTGATTTTCACAAATGGCCCGTTTCCAGTAGTTGACATCGTTGATGATGTATTCATATTCCTAGCAGGAGGAAAAAAGTGAGACATTTTAAAGATACTCATTCTGTCTCTCTGATTGAATAACATTTTTAAAATGATTATGTCCATAGTTCACCTTGTAGTACTGCTTCCTAGAACAGTGGATATTTATTTAAATATTTTTGAGCTTTGAAATTTAAAAGGAAAAGTACTGAAGTAAACACTAATTCCCCATAAAAACCTTCACTTTGATGAACACTTCCTGAGATATTTCATTTAAGATGCCTTAATGACATTGAAAGGTAGAGATTAATGATTTTAATGACAATGAGTTATTAGATTTCTTTTTTTCAATGCCACCACTCAAAGATAGTACACTGCCATTTTTAAAAGATAGAATGCTACATTTTATTATGTAATGTTCAACAATAGTCAGTTGAAACTTGTTCTGTGCTTTGGAGGGAAATAACCATCAATGTTAAGTATACTGGGCTTTACAGAGCAAATAGAGGTATAGTCTGTATAGAGAACAATTTAAAGTCAAAGGACGTGGTGGAGCTATTTATGAATATTTTTTATTAAAGTGAAAGTGACAGAGCCTAACGACACATTAAGAATAGAAGAGACAATACCGGCAGGGACAGGAATGAGTAAGCACAAGTAAAATATGATTGTCCAATTACTTGGGAGGCCAGTATGTATGTTTTGGTGGTTGGAATTTTTTTTTCTAAAAAGCAATGTTTTTAAACCTGACCATACAATAGCATACAAAATCCTTGCCCACTAAGGAATTCCATCTGAGCAGAAAAGCAGTGCATTTATTCTCCATTAGCACCTGAGCAAAGTTAGGATAATATACTTCCATTCTATTCTGAAAGCATCTTACATGCACTTTGCAGTGGGATAAGTGCCTACACAGGATGCAAGACAGCAGTAAAGCAATTCTATAATACTTATGTATCCAGTTGGGAGAAAACTGTAATCCTTAATATGAAAGTCAAATACTCCCAAACTTATGGTAAATTCTGATCTGAACTCTGTTTTCCTGAGACAATTTCTGTAGTGACCTAAACAAAAGCCCATTGAGCTGGATTCTCCACATCACACCAGATCCATGCCAGTGTCATTTTATTGAATTTAATGGAGCCAGGCTGATGTAAAAGTAGTATAATGGACTTGAAGACTGAGAGGATGTCTACACTAGCCCCCTAGTTCGAACTAGGGAGGCTAATGAGGGCGACCGAAATTGAAAATGAAGTGCGGGATTTAAATATCCCACACTTCATTAGCATGTTCCCGGCCGGTCGCCATTTTAGAAATTGACTAGCCCAAAGTAACTGCCCGTGTCTACACGTGGCAGTGAAACAGGATTCTGAATTAAAGCCCTAAATCAAATTAGCTGCTATTCCTTGGGTTTACCAGCTAATTCGATTTAGGGCTTTAATTCAGAATCCTGTTTCACTGCCACGTGTAGACACGGGCAGTTACTTTGGGCTAGTCAATTTCTAAAATGGCGACCAGCCGGGAACATGATAATGAAGCACGGGATATTTAAATCCCGTGCTTCGTTTGCAATTTCGGTTGCCCTCATTAGCCTCCTTAGATCGAAGTAGGGGGCTAGTATAGACATACCCTGAGGTCTAAACAGAAAATGCCCTACATTCTGGAGAAAATTATCTCTGTTTTCAATTCAAAATGCAATCTTAGTAATGTGGATCTACTCTTAGTTACAAGTCAGTTCAAACCAACTTGCTTAAAAAGCAATCTGAATACATCCACATTACACACCCCATTTCATTGAATACAAGAGGACATGCACATGGTGATGCAGGTCATATGTGCCCTGAAAAGTTTCTGTGAAATCCTGGGCAAATTGCTTCAGTTCCCTACCTTTTAAAATGGGATAATAGCATGTCCCTATCTCATCGGAGTGCCAAACACTCTGCCCTTCTTAACAGTGGTGACTATGGTTCAGACAATATCAGATTCATAGGTATCTAAATTGTTACACAGTACAGTAATAATATTTAGGCTGGGGACAAGTGGGAACCTGCAGACAATGGCTTTAATACCAATGAAACTGGAACCAAGCACTTACTATGGGCTTCACTTGGGTGAGAAGTCTTTGGTCCTATTGATTTTCTGATTATTGGTAGTGAGTATTGTTCAGGGATGCGTGTGGTCTCTGTTGCTCTGAGTACAAGTATCTGAACTCTTTACTGAATCTGTCGCAAGCTGATGGACTCCTCTTTGCCTTTCTTCTACTTGCCTCACTTGGAGCCTGCACAGAATTCCTCATGGGACCTCAGGTCTTCTTGTGCATTGATGACTGATACCTTCTTGAAGGTTTCCTTCTCACATATTTTTGCTTAGAGGCAGATGTAGAGGAGGACTTTGGCACCATAGCTGTACCTGGACCCATGGTACTGCCGACATCTCTGGTGGTCTCTGGTGACCAAGATGTCAATGTGGATTGGGTACTAACTGAACTGAGAGGTCTATGTACAAGGGGGCTCTCTCCAATTCCTGAAGTTGGATGTAGAGCTTACTCCATCATCCGGAGTTTAAACTTAATTTTGCTATTTTGGGGAATCCATCACAGTAGAGATCTTGCACCTGTTTGGGATATGACTATTTCCCAAACAACAGATGTACTGGAAAGCCTGTCATTTATCAGAATAACTTCACAACAGGAGAGACACCTCTTGAGTCCCAGGTGAATCCTAGGCATTCTTGAGCAAAACTAATGAAAATTTAACCCCTTGAAGGGAAAACCTTCTAACTATGTAACCTATGAATACAAAAGGGTTTTTTTTTTTAAGAAAGAAAAGATAAAATATAAGGGAACAATTGTTCTAGCAACTATAACACTATACATTTGGGAATTATAAGGTGCTTATCTGAGAAAAAGCTAATTATTAGAGAATATTCTCAGTTGTCTCCATCTTGGGCCAAAGGGTGGTAGAGAAGGAACCGAGGATTGTTCATCTGTGTAGGGCATGTGGATGTGTGGAATGCATGAGTGGACCAAATGGGCACTGTTACCAAAAATATCTGCTCAAAGGGACAGGACTCAAGAGTGCTGAAGTACAGCATCTTAAGAAATATTATTTAAAGAAGAACTATCAAATCTTAACACGATGAGGTTTGTTTTAGGATAGGGTTTGTTGTGGAATGGCATGCCTAATTTGCACATACAATTACATCAGGTAATTGTACATACAAAGTGCCATCATGATTTGTATATCCAGGTACTCGATATTTACAAAAATGAAGTGATTGTTCTGGCAAAAACAACACACATTTTCTCAGCTACTGATGAAAAATGAGACCCCAAGTATTTTTTACGGCATCCTGATCAGGTTGATTTGTGAAGTTTGTTTATTTATCATAAAAGCCCTTGCAGCTATCCCACCTTAGTATTCCTGTCCGATCTCAGAAGCCAAGATTTCACCTGGTTAATAGTTGGATGAGTGACATTTACTGAAAACCTGCTGGCTGCAAGAAATAGTGCTTGTTATTCAGTGGTGGTATGTCCACATAGCAGTGTTATTTTGGAATAATTAATTCCAAAATAACAGTGCATGGTTACACTACAAGCCTTTATTTCGAAATAACGTCAAGCTGGAGGACTTATTACTCCAACTCATGGTAAACCTCATTTCTCAAGGAGTAAGGGAAGGAAAAGGAAGAGTGTTCTTCCTTTGACTTCCAGCTGTGTAGACAGTGCCAAAAGCTGAATTAAGCTATTTTGACGTAAGCTACGCAATTGACGTAGCCAAAGTTGCATAGCTTATTCCGATTTTAGCCCTGCTGTGTAGATGTACCCTGGGGGCTCATCTACACTGGCCCCTTTTCCGAAAGGGGCATGCTAATTTCACAGGTCGTAATAGGGAAATCCGCGGGGGATTTAAATATCCCCTGCGGCATTTAAATAAAAATGTCCGCCGCTTTTTTCCGGCTTTTAGGAAAGCCAGAAAAGAGCGTCTACACTGGCCCCGATCCTCCGGAAAAAAGCCCTTTTCAAGGGCTTTTTTCCGGAGGATCGGGGCCAGTGTAGACGCTCTTTTCTGGCTTTCCTAAAAGCCGGAAAAAAGCGGCGGACATTTTTATTTAAATGCCGCGGGGGATATTTAAATCCCCCGCGGATTTCCCTATTATGACCTGTGAAATTAGCATGCCCCTTTCGGAAAAGGGGCCAGTGTAGACGTAGCCAGGGGGTGCCTGTGATATAATTAGAACTACTCTGAGGTTGAGACTAAAATATGTTCCATTAACTGCATTAAAAGTGTTGAAAGTTATAAAGAACAAGCAGTATCTTCATGATCTTGCCACACAGAGAATTCCAATGCACCACTGACGTAAGCCATATTTAATTTTAGAGTTATTGGGCTATAGGTGATAGGCCAGATTTTGTCTGTGTCCCTATTGTATGGAGGCTGCATGGAGCAGATCCTCTTCTTGGATGAAAAAGGGGAACTTAGGCCAGTGAATTATGATAGACTGTGGAATAATTTCACTAGGGAATTGGGAATATACTTTTGTCATAAAACTAGACTGGACAAAGTAACAGAAAATATTATGAAGGGAACAATCTGCTACTGGCAGGAGGTTGGACAAATGACCTAATAGGTCTTGTATGTCTTTGATTTTATTATTCAATCAGCCCATACCACTTTACTGAAGTATTTGCCCAGCAGCAGGACCCACACACAGCTTTGATGGGGAGGTCAGCAGTTACCTAAGTTCGGTTTACTATACTACAGTAGGTCCCTTTAAGGAGTAAGAATAGAGTTCAGGAGACCATCTTCTAACTTCTCAAGCAACAAGGATGACAAAGGAAGTCAATTAAGTCACACACACACAGAGATAAGAAAGAGCTCAACTTCTTTTCCCTTGGAAGTTTGATTCCAGATAAAAACTGTCCTGAGGTCACTATCAAGGGAGTTGAATGTAAGAACATTCAGTCCTCTGACTTACTCCTCTTTGCCACTGTGGGAAGGAACAGACTTTTCTGTTTTCATCGGTGGTTGGTCTTTTTCCTTCAGGCAATATGTCGAGGTGGGCAGAAACCAAGTTTCCCTGTGGACCTTGATTGCTGAAGCTTACTCTTTTGAAAGATGTTCCTGCTTCAGAAGAGAAGCAGCAGCTGCCATCTCTCTTGCCTCCCCGCTGCACTATTGAGATACATTTTTATATGTCCCCTTCTTTGCAATATCCCTTTCAACATTTAAAAATAAGTATTTTATTTCCAGACTGCCTGCCTGCTTCCTTTTAGGGAATTATTCCCTCTTTTTGCCCCTTCTTCCCCAGTTTTTCTAATGCAACTGAAATTATCATTGCTTTTCTCTGAGCACTTCTGCCAAGCCAGAGCCAAATCATATAAACTACATTATTGCTCTTTTTGTGGGTTCCGTCTTCCAAAAAGAACAGTGGTTTTATCAAACTTCTCTAGTCATAGGGTGAATTTAAAACAAAGTGCAAAATTAGATATTTCTAGAACTGGTCAGGTCACAGTACAAGCTTTCATGAACAAAATCTTCACTTTTTTCATTAATATGTCTAATTGTGACTTTTGACTTTTTTGACTGTCACTTGACATATCTTTACCATTCCTCCTTGCTATTTTATTTGAGTCCACAGCACTAACACTGGCTAAAAGGTGTATTGCGACAATACTTATTATTTTTTATTATACTACCATTTCTACTGTACTGAGGAATAAAAGATAGAAATGATATTTCTCTCATTTCTAAAGCAGACAGTGCTTTCAGAGGAAGAAGTATGCCAAATGGCTAAGCAGAATTATTGAGAATCAGGCAGACTCATAGATTCCCAGCTCTGCCAATGACTTAGTATGTGAGTGTAGGCAAGTTTCATAACTTTCCTCTATGTTCCTTCCTCTGTAAAATGAGTAAGACAAGATACTTTGTGAGGCTTAGTTATTATTTTCAAATCACTAAATCAGGGATACACCCTGAAGTTCATAACTATTTTTATACAGTACTTATATAACAACTCTCTGTGAGTCAAAAGCATAATTTAGAATTATGCCTAGGGCCCTCAAACTAAAACACAGACCACTTCTAAGGGTACATCTACACAACAGCTTTATTTTGGAATTACTGACATTATTTCAAAATAACATTTCAAAGGAAGTACGGGAAGTCGAAGGAAAAGTGTTCTTCCTTTGACTTCCTGCTGTGTAGACAGCACCGAAAGCTGAATTAAGGTATTTCGACTTAAGCTATGCCATTGACATAGCTGAAGTTGCCTAGCTTAATCCAACTTTAGTCCTGCTGTGTAGATGTACCCTAATTGAGCTAAATAAAGGGCATGTCCACACTGGAGAGTTATTTCAAAATAACTCCCCTTATTTTGAAATAAGAAGGCGAGCGTCCACACTACTAAAACTGTTATTTCGAAATAATGGGCTTATTATTTTGAAATAATAACTCCTGCTTGTGAAGAGGAATAAGCTTATTTCAAAATAGTTATTTTGGGAGTTATTATTCTGAAATAACATATTTCAAAATAACTTGGTAGTGTAGACATAGCCTAAGTGACTTCATTATCTGACAACAGTGGCAGGTTGTTTACTCAAGCAACACTTAAAGGGCATGTCTACACAGCAACATTATTTTGAAATAACTTAGTTGTGTCTACAGGCAGTTATTTTGAAATAATGTCAAAAAATGTCAAGCTGGAGGACTTCTTATTCTGACTCCTGTAACCCTTGTTGTATGAGGAGCAAGAGAAGTTGGAGGAAGAGTTCTCTATTTCAAAATAAGTGCTGTGTAGACCATCCCAATTTCGAAATAAGCTATTTCAAAATGAGCTATGCAATTGACATAGCTCAATTTGTGTAGTTTATGTCAAGTTAAGCCCTGCTGTGTAGACGCATTACTGAACTCAATGTGAATTTTTTTGGAGTAAGCACTGCAGATGGATCTGAAGATAAAAGGCACCATGCAAATGCCAGTAATATTATTAGGACTGATCCTTGTCATTTGAAGAAAGACTAATCCTGAAAAACTATGGAGAAAGACTCAGATAAAATACAGCTTCAAAAGAGAGTTTAGTGGGTACAGAACAACTTAAAACTTAATTTTTTTAGAACTTGATTTGAAAGACAAACAACGTAAGAAAAGGAATCTTTATTTTTTCATGTATGTCTTTCCAGAGAAATCTTAGACCTCATCTACACTAGTTACTTTGCTTGTTATTTCAAAATAACAAGCAGAGCGACCGCACTACCAAGCCTGTTATTTCGAAATAAGGGGCTGATTATTTCAAAATAATAACTCCTGCTTTCCTTGGGGAAAAAGCTTATTTGAAAATAGTTATTTCAGGATTTATTATAATGAAATACATGATTTCAAAATAATTTCTTAGTGTAGACATGCTCTTAGGAAGACAACTCCATTTCCTCTCTGCAATTCTTACACCTAAAATTGCTGAAAATAAATTATTTCTGCATTTTTTGCAGACAACTCTTCTTAATGTCTGATAATATACTGTATGGGCTTTTGTGGGACTATATGAAAATTTACCAATACCTATAACATATTTTACGTTTCTTTCATGAAATATATGATTGGGTTCCTTTTTTCCACTTAGAGGTGGCTATAAAATGTTACTTTTTTGACAAAAACAATAAAGAATATTGGAATGATGAAGCCTTGGGAGGTTCATTATAAAAAAGTGCTATATATAACATTTAGAGACTTTGTCATGCCACAGAGATTTGGGTATGAGACTGGAAATCTCATAGAAAAAGGTTTCACATGAGATTTCTGGACTTTCTGGTTTTGGTCAGGTGAGGAACTAACAAGATGGAGACTGCCTTGTTGGCAGTATTTTAGTTTATCCAGTGTTTTATATTTCGCTAAAACCTGGAAATAAAGGATGGACTTTTAATAACTGGCTTAATGACTTCTAATATTTTCTTCCAAACCTCAGAAGAATACCATGCTCCACAGACATATTCATGCTTCCTTTTCTGGACAGTCCTGAAGTTAGGATCATTGGGCTGGAAAGGTACATCTATATTGCAGAGCTATTTTGGGATACTGGAAGTATCCTGAAATAGCTATTCTGCATCTATTTAATCTATTTGAAATAGATTTTGAAATAATGGGTGGCTTATTCTAATGTCCCGGTAGCCCTCATTCCATGAGGGTTATGGGACATTTCAGAATAGTGAATTATTTTGAAAAACACTTGAAATAAGTTACACAATTTGCATAGCGCAAATTGCATAGCTTATTTCGAGCTAAGAGTGCTGTGTAGACACACTCGAAGAAACCTCAGGATGTCATTGAGTCTAGCCTCTTGCCCAAAGCAGGAGCAACCCTAACAAAACCTCAAGCTCTGGGCTCATCCAGGACCTCTCGCCCTTAAGGTGAGAATCATACTCCCATACCAAAAGGCAACTAGTAAAGCACAAAGTTTTCATACCCAATATATTTATAAATGAAGTACTACAAAGACGATAAACATTACTTACCCTAGTCCTAATGCATTACAAACGTCATTTGAAATCTGCTCACTCCAATAATCTGCACATGCTATATACCATTTATTCTCAATCCTGAACTGTACCAATCCATTGACACTTAGAGAACCATTAAACAGATGTACTGTGGACAAAAACAGACATATGGATTGGCAGCTAGGTTTATAATACTGAGATGTAACAGACAGCAAACCAGATTCACTAGAACTAGTACAGGGAAGTGTAAATCACATGGGCTAGCAGTAATGAGGAATCCTGAGCCCCAGTGGTGACATAACCCACTATCATTTCAGACACGGAAGAGAGTTTTAGTTTACATCCTGGGGAGCTCAGGAATCTTGTCAATGGAAATTAATGAGTTGATGTGCTGAATCAGCAAATTCTCTGACCAACCTACACAAGGCTCTTTACAGGCTGGCACTAGCTTCTTTTTCAAACCATTGTGTAATAATGTAGCTACCCAATTTTCATTAAAAGCAGTTGGAGACTAAATGAAAACAAGAATGGACCAAAAATTCTAATTTTCTCTGTCCAAGAAATTCTGGGATTTCAACATTTACTTTCATTGTGAATTTGGACTAAAAGTTGAGACATTAATGTTTTTCACAAAGCAAAACCCAATTGATCTGGAACTGTTGAAATGCTTTGTTCAACATTAAACTGTATCTCCAGGGGTCTCTGGGGAGGCTCATAGACGCTGTAATCTGGCTAAGCAGCCCTGCCTCTAGTGGAGAAGGACAGCCTGAAAGACTCCAACCAATGACTCTGATTAGGAACTACTGCCACTTAGGCAGATGAAAATTATTGTCAGCCTGACCAAAAATGAACCATTGAGTTTCAATGTTCCCAATGGGGGAAAAAATCAACATTGTTTTTGTTGCAAAAAAAAAAAAAAAAAAAAAAAAATCTGTGGAAACTTCTGATTGTGCAGAAACCTCATTTTTCCTAAAAAAATAAAAATAAATAAAAATTATACTTACTAAATATTCCAACTGGATCTAACTAAAACATCACATGGCAGAACTTTGAGAATGTCCTGCTCACATGGCAGAACTTTGAGAATGATCCTTCTGGCAGTCATATTGGTGAAATACATAATTACAAAACAGAGCTGATGATGCTTAGTAACTAGTGACTGGCAAACATCAAAATTCAGGAGACTTATATAAACAGAGAAAACATTAGAGGCATCTACACTGTCTGGATAGGTCCCTTTTCCTCTCTTCTGTCTCAGTCAGATCAGTTTGCCTTTCTTTTGACTCCAATCCTCTCTTCCCCTTAAATTTCCACTTGAAGTTCTTCAATTTATCTTCTCATTAATTACAGTTGTCAACTCCAACAAGCTGCTGTAGCCCTTGATTCATATATGACTGTGACAGAGCGCAAATGTCCTGCCACCGATCGGGTGCCATGGCGAGGAGCTGCGGCCGCCTGACTGCACCCCAGCGCCTATGCAGCGCATGCTCACACCAGATACTGGGCAGTTTAAATGCCGATGGCACGGCGGATAGAGGGGAGGAAGTCCACCATGGGTGTTCAGGGAAATGCTTCCCCCCTTCCCGGTGGAGAACCGAGCAAGCTGCCAATCCGGGATGGAGGCTGGACTTGGCCGCCGGGTGAAGAACCGGCAGTGGCCGCCAGACTTTCCAACGACTCCTCAGCAGGCGAAGTGGCTGGTGACTCCTAGAGTGACATCCTTGACCTGAGTTCACAAGGGTGAGTGTGGGCACAGTAGGAAGAGGCCTAGGGTGGGCATTGGCCCTAGTGGTTGGTGGGTTGTGGAAAGGAACACCCCCCCCCAACAATAAGGGGTCTGAATCATAGACCCATAGGGAACTGGGCTGGGACCCGGAGGTGACGGAGGGCCTGGGTCCCCCTATCACACCCTAAGGGAGGGTTCAACAGGGTACTGAATTGACTTGAGCTGAGTCCTGCAGTACGTGACAGAGACAAACTGATTAGCTATCCCCAGCAACCCCGGAGGGCAGTGGACTGGACAGGGCAACACCTGTGGAAAGGACAGGGAGAACTGTAATCCCTGCGAAGGCAGATGGCACTGGGAATAGGAGGCCTGAGGGGCCAGAGTAGAGCCAGGTACGCGCAGGGTAGCGGAACGTCAGGGTAAGAAGCATTGGCTTCTCTCGGGCCATAAACGTCTCTCCCGGAGGCTAGAGTAAGAGGGAAGTTCAGCCTGAAGCAACTCCCAAAGAGCGATGGAAGGTGTCGCAGAGGGCCACCCCCCTGACAATGACTCTTAATTGAATCTCTTATTGGTAACATTGATAACGGATGCAGGGAATTCTGATACCAGGCCCCAAACATCAGCTATTCTCAGTCTTCAGTATATGATGGAATTTCACTAGGCTGGTGATAGAAGCTCTAGCAGTATGCCCATATACAAACGAACAATACAGATTGGTATGGGAAAAGCATGGTGACTTAGTGGTGAAAAGTATACCTCATGATCCATTACAAACACATTTATTCAGCCTATCATATATAATACATAAAGTGACCATATTTCCCTGTACTGTATATGGAAGATCTGGTAAAATTACTCATTCAAGTAGAGTCAGTAACAATCAATCATACAAACATTCAAATTAACATCAAGTTGACTGAGCCCGTTAAATATGGTGTAGTTTGGTTCTTTTTACCTTCTCTCACATGGGGGAAGGGCATGACTGACCTAGTCCTTCTCTGCCCGCTATTCCTGGCTGGACTACCTCAGCACAGAGCTGTTACTCCTGGGCTACGTCTACACTGGCCCCCTTTCCGGAAGGGGCATGTAAATTTCATGAGTCGTAGTAGGGAAATGCGTGGGGGATTTAAATATCCCCCGCGGCATTTAAATAAAAATGTCCGCCGCTTTTTTCCGGCTTTTAAAAAAGCCGGAAAAGAGCGTCTACACTGGCCCCGATCCTCCGGAAAAAGTGCCCTTTTCCGGAGGGTCTTATTCCTATTTCAAAGTATTTTTATTTAAATGCCGCGGGGGATATTTAAATCCCCCGTGGATTTCCCTACTACGATAGGTGAAATTAACATGCCCCTTCCGGAAAAGGGGCCAGTGTAGACGTAGCCGATGAGACCTTGAATGAGTTTCAGGAAAATTAGGAAAAAAAGTGGGAACTAAAAGGTAGCCACTGACTTTTCACTTCCTTGACAAGTTTAGTCTGAGATTAAGGTAAGTTTGGGGGGTTTTTGTTTGTTTTGGTAACAGCTCACTCAGAACAATATGTCTAACTTAATAGATACTGTTAAAGCAATCAGTGCCAAAAACATCTCTTTGGGAGAAAGTACATAATTCTAGGGCAGGAAGTAACTGCTTCATACTTATTTTAAACCTACAATATAAATGGCCAAAGTCTTTTCCAGCCGTTCTTAGCTATATAATTATATTCACAGCTTTTCCTGTAAGAAGAGGCTGCAGGTCAGTTTCTTTTATGAAATCAGGGGAAACAAAGACAACAGCATTCTCACAGGCAAAAAGAACACACTGAAATAATGGAGAGAGCCAAATTCTACTTTTAGATGCATGCACACAGTTCCAGTTGAAATCAATGGGAGCTGCCAGCACATATCCAAGACTTGGACTAACAGGTCTTCCTGAAACCAACCACAGGCAACTCATCTGTGTCTGAGCCTAAAAGCCTGCCCTAACCTGTATGTTGTCTAGAATACTTTGTCAAAAATATCAGTTTCATTTTTGCCAGACCCAATATGATTCTAAAATAGCTTTTGCAGATAAATTGTCATTTGGGGACCATTATTTCCATTTTACATGAAATAAAACTATGTGCTGTGCATTTCATTTTTTTATCATCTTCACAGATGGTAGCATTACAGCAGCTGTTGCTCTTGTTGTCATGGAAACCTGTACATGCAAACAGCTGTGAAAAACAGTTTTAATGCTGCTCCCACAGCTGTCTGAGAGAGAGAGAGAGAGAGAGAGAGAGAGGCCAGGCAAGTTCTATGGTGTCTGGCATTGGAGCAATGGTTTACAATTAGTAATCGTTCTGAGGTATCCAGCAGTTGGACTAGCTTTCTTAGATGAGAAATCTACCTGTGTACCATGGGAGAATTAGCTATACAGCTGAAAAAGAATATCTTCCTGCCATTTTAAGTAGCTCATCCTTGATGAAGACACTTCCAGATTTTGCAGGGATATTTGCTATTATAAATGCAGTGTCATGGAATGAGTCACTTTGTTTCTTTTGAGCCAAACCTTAACCTTATATATATTAAGTATATATATAAGTAAAGAATCTCTAACAATTTACACCAGCTTGAGGGTATGTGTCTTTACATTTGTTCTTTCTTTGCTGGTTATTTATTTTGATAAAAAAGTAATAAATACATTTTAAAAATACCATTATTGAAAATGCATGTATTGCTCTTTGGGTATGAAGGAATCAACACTTACCACACTCTGTTTCATCAGAGCCATCTTTACACTGCAAATGTCCATCACAAAGATTATCCAGGGGTATACATTCCCCACTCCCACACTGATAATCTTTGGGTCCACAGGGTGCTGCAGAAAGATTTGGTTAGTAAAGGAAACAAAACCATAATTACCCGGTAAGAGTAACCACACAGATCAAAATAGTGGACACAGTGATGAAATGAATGGGAGCTCTTTATTGGTATCTTATTTTTATGGATGCACAACCACTTTCAAAATTAATTTATACAAAGAAGTTGAATGGAAATAACTGTATAGTAATATCTCTTGGAGTTGTTAATGGTGTTCTATGGGTGAGTATGGTATGCAGGAGTGAGAAAGGAACAAAGATCATAGGTGACATTCTGGTCCCACCAGATCAGCTGACTTGGGGTGGTGGGAGAGGAGCAAAGGTGGCAACTGCCCAAGGGCCAGGCCTCCATCGCTACCAGTGCACTAGTGCAGCAGTGGTGGTTGGAGAAGAATTGAGGAGGGGGAATAGGAAGAAAGAAGCACAGGTGAGCTAGCATGTGATCTGGCGCAGTCTACTGAACAATAGAAGGTTACATTCCTTCAGAATATACATTCCTTCAGAAGGTTACATTCCCTCAGAAACAGCTACATTTGTTTTCTCTAGTTAATATTTTTTATTACATTTCCTATCCTATTAACAAGCTTGTTTTGCTTCAATTTACTTTGCTTCTCAGGCTATGATGGCAGAAATTGTATAATTTTTCTTAAGGTGAATCAGTTGTTTTGTCATTTGATAAAGTGATATAATACCCAATTAGAATTATATGAACATATATCTGAAGTTTGAAACAATGTTGATTAAAAATTGCACATTATATGCACAAGAAGATTTTTGGTTCAGATTTTCAAGTGTTTAGCAGCCATAATTAGGGTCACACTCACTGCTCTTTTAAACCACTTTTGCAAAGAGCAAAAAGTGCCCTTTCCCAGTAAACACAAAGTTCTGGATTTTTAAAGGCACCTAAAGATATAACTAGACAATACCTAGTATTTTCAGGAGGGCCCAGGCACCTAGCATCCATTGATTTCAAAGACACCTAAATACTTTTGGGATATGTCTAGACTGAAAGCTTCTTTTGGAAGAAGCTTTTCCAGAAGAGATCTTCTGGAAAACCTTTTTCCAAAAGAGAGCATCTACACAGCAAAAGCTCAATGAAAAGGCGATCTGCTTTTTCAAAAGATAACGTTCACATTCATTGGACACTATCTCGCATTTCAGTTGTAATTACTATGAATGGAGTGGCTACCAGGGCATCCATGCTTTTCCCTGGAGACCTTTTCTTTTGAAAAAACACTCTTTTCAATGTCCACATACTCCTTTTTCTGAAAAAGCTTTTCACGTAAGTGTAGTTTTTGTGGAAAAATGGCCGTTTTTCCCCAAAAACTCTGCAGTGTAGACATACCCCTGAAGAGGGAGTTAAAAGCGTAGGCACTGCTGAAAATCTATTTGCACTGTTAAGCACCTAAATATCTTTCAAAATCTAGCCGATAGTTCCAAAATAAGTATTTTACAAAAGTTGCCTAAATATAGCCCATGATGGTCCAAAATGAATGACAAGGAGTTACGTTGACTCTTGGGTATAAATATAATTTATAAGAGCTGGCAACTTTCCATACCTTTTATTTTTCTAAAATAAAAAGAAAAAATATGGTAAACATGAAAACATGGAATCAAATTCTGCACTAAATTCAATAATATTGCATAGAGTCCTAGGGAGTGCAAAATTTGGCTTCATTTAATACCCTATTTAAATGAGTTCCGGTGTACATGATCAGATAATCCACAGTTTAGACCAATTTGGTACATGGTGCGATTGTCAATCCCAGTTTCATATAACTTTTTTCTACACTCTTAACTTTATTTGAGCGTATGTTTAAATTCAGCATGTTGCATAGTTTACTCACCAGGCATTCCAAGATTATAACCAGTTGTAAAATTTGCAAGAAATCCTTTCCGAGTTCCAGATTTGTCAGTAATGAAGAGCACTGTCATCTGGTTTGTGGTAGAGTAGACATCTGGAACGGAGTTTTGTCCTGTATAGACAGCTATTCTTGAGGAAAAGATACGTACATTTCAGTAATGTGTTAGATCAGTAGTTCCCAACAGCCGATCCATGGACTGGTGCCGGGCTGCAAACCGCTGGCTTCTGGGCCATGGCAGCTCTGGGGGCAGGGCCTGGGATACACCACCCAGCACCTTTCCTCCTGCTGCGGCTGTTGGGAGAAGCATATTCTGCCCTGCCTCTCAGCCAACCAGTGTGGGGCAGGAGCAGGGTCTTTTCCTGCACACGGATGAGCAGTTCACTGCATGGCAGGAGGGCCACATGAATTCCAGCATGGTAGCCTTAGAGCAGTTGTGTCCTGAGCAGCAGCACTAAGCTGTACACCACCCAGCACCTTTCCTCCTGCTGCGGCTGTTGGGAGAAGCATATTCTGCCCTGCCTCTCAGCCAACCAGTGTGGGGCAGGAGCAGGGTCTTTTCCTGCACACGGATGAGCAGTTCACTGCATGGCAGGAGGGCCACATGAATTCCAGCATGGTAGCCTTAGAGCAGTTGTGTCCTGAGCAGCAGCACTAAGCTGGTGGCTGAAGGCAGTGCAGGGTTAGGTGGTGGTGGTGGGGGGG